AAGTGAAGGCTCTGAGGAGGAGGGCTGGGGGTGTGATATGTCCAGCAGGTACACATGCAGGCTGGAGATGTGTGGGCGGGGTCTCATCCCCCACCCACTACTGTTTATCCTCAGTACCACTGGCGGATTATGCTGGAGTATGGAAGTTACATTGACTGATGGTGCAGTGAAGTATGGAGGGAGGAGGGGTGGATAATGAGAAAGCTTAGAGTGTGTTTTGTTGCTCAGTGACACAGATCACCGAGCACTGCTGCCACAGTTGTAGATGGAGGCATCTCACAGGCTGTGCAGCCCGGCTCCTTCAGCTTTCTCCTTGCTACCAGCTTGAAGGAGAGACGGGCTTTTAAAGACTGCTGTGTACATGTGTGAACCGAGCTTGGGAACAAAGCTCGTGCTTATTCCTCTTTGTGCAACTGGCTCCTCTGCTGGTGACAGAGCTAGAGACATTCATACGGTTGGTCAACCCTCGCGTCACACCAAGCTTGGATGTTCTGTCCACCAGCCCTCTGAAGCGCTAGCAAATGCCTGACTCCAGTGACTGTTCAGCTTGATACCTTGACTAGGAGGTACAGAGATTGTCATGAAGTCTTCGTTCTCAGTGGGTGGCAGCTTCGTCAGTGAGCACTCTGAGGAGTGTCTTGCCCTCGGATATTTATTTTTAAAGCCTGCTATTGTTTAGCCCACCCTGCTTCCTTTGTAGTGTTGTTATAAAAAGTTCAGATGATTATTCCGCTGGCCAAGCACCAACATCCCCGATCGCTCCTCGGAGCCTCCTCCTGAGGTAAATACAGAAAATGCCTTTTCCCTAAAATAAAGAGCCAGCAGGTGCTCTTAACTTGTAAGAGACAAGCTTGAGGTCTAGCTTGAAGCAGTAAGGGACAGTATGCAAGAGAATGTAGTTTATTGTGTAACCCTCTCTGCTGCCCTAAGATGGCAAAGTGGGGGGGGGGTTGTTCAAGGAGTTCCCTTAATGGAATTAAGTCTAAGTTTGATCCTTAGATGTGGCCCAGTGACTGTTTAATGCTGAACAGTCTGGTGAGGTGTGGAGATCGTGCTGTGGTGTCTATATGATTGGTAGTCACTAGTCACATGTGGCTATTTGAGTAGAGATTAATTTCAATTAAGTAAAATTACAAGTTAGTGCTTCAGTCACTTAGACACCTGGCAAGCGTTCGCTAGAGGATACTTCAGTGGACAGTGTAAACACGGACAATGTCTATAGCACAGGGTAGTCCACTGGGCAGTGCTGCTTTGGAATTCCATAGTGCACAGAAGAAGCTGATATGTGGTGGTACATAAGAATGTGGTCTTTGGGGTCAAACCTAAGTTAGGACCCTAGCTTCACAGCTTTCTGCCATAGCTTGGGGGCCATGTTGCATAGCCCATCTGAGCCAAAGATTTATACTCTCTAAAAAATGGGCTAATAATGCCTACCTCATTGAGTTAAAATGAGAATTAAAGTATATCTGTGATCACTGAGCAGTCATTGCTCAAGACAGTGCCTGTTGCCATTATCATCTTCTTCTGTGATTAGGAGGGATTTATATTACCCAGACAGATATTTCACAGTCATTAAATTCTGTCCTTCTTTTGGTAATAGTTTTGAAGACACAGCGGTTTTCCCTATGTTCCTTCTTTCTATAGTAGTTGCCAACCTCCTCCACCCCCATGGTGTGTTGTAAATCTTCCGAAAACCTGGGTTCGGGTGCTGTGGTACCCTCCTTGTCTTGTGACTACAATGGTAGAGAGAATAAACAATATTAGAGAAGTATGATTATTGATTTTAGTAAAATTTTTGTCTGGCTGGAAAACATTAATGACCTAGACAGATGAGAAAAATGGGAATAAAGCTCTTCCTAAGAGTGATCCCAATTGAGTTGCTACAACCACTTGGGATGTATCTATTTAAGATATTTCTACCAAGGATCCCAGCTTTTTGTTGCCAGCTGAGTCCTGAAGTTGAGGCAGAGGCCCTGGGTTCATGGTGGTAAGAGGCACTTCATCTCCTGGGAAGAAGAAACAGAGAAAAGAGGAGGAACCAGGCATGAAACTGTCTATGTGGGGTCCCTGCAAACACTGTGGCCAGCAGAGTGTTGATCCAGGGGATGTTGGTCCAGGGAGGGCAAGAAAGAAACTTGGTCCAGTGGGACTCAATAGCTGACATTGGTTCAAACTTTGAGAGTCTGATCCAGAGCTATTTATTTCAGGAATATATAAGCACAGCACAATTTGGGGGGAAAATGTTACCTGGTGATAATTAACTCAATCCCTTGTGCACAACAATGCTTAAGACATGATTACATTGAAATTCTTGTAAAGTACATGTGACATCTTCCATAAAGACAAGCTCGTTCATTTTCCTTCTGCTCTCTTGGGTACTTACTTGGGTTGTTTTTACTATTGCAACTGCTACTTTGCCTTGCTGGCAGAAAAATTAGTTCTCCTCAGCACACCAAACTCAATATTTCTACCCCACTGCCCCCCCCAAAAGACTGAACTTTCTGTCTTACCCTGGAAGTTGATAAATGGACACTTTACAACGTCTTGGGTGGGGACTGAAGGCCAGAGACAACCTCTCCAAATACTACCTCCCAGATGGGCAGTCCACAGGTCAAAGGACGGTGTTTAGATTGAGAAATGACTTGTTCTGTCATCCTAACATCAATGACATCTGTAGACAGAAGTTTCTGTCCACCTAGCAGCTCCAAAATAAACACAGAGGCTTATATTAATTATAAATTATTGGTCAATAACTTGGGCTTGTTACTAGCTAACTCTTACATTTAAATTAACATTTAATTTACATTTAAATTAACCATTAATTAATTTATCTGTGCTCTGCCATGTGGCTTGGTACCTTTTCTCAATACAGCATACCCATCTTCCTCCTCCAAGCGTCTGCTGGCAACTCCTCTGACCCAGCCCTTCTTCTTCCCAGCATTCTTAGTTTGGCTTTCCAGCTTAACTTTATCCTGTTCAGTGATTGGCCAGTCAGCTTCTTTATTGAACCAGTCACAGTGACAAATCTTCACAGTGTACACCAGGATAATTCCATGGCAGACATCCTGTAGCGTTTTCCTGCACTTCCGATGCATACTGGGAAATATGAAGGGCACAATCCTCCAGCCACTCAAGAAAATGGATGGGTCAGTATGCCTCTGAAAGTCACCATTGCATCCTGCCAGCTCTTCAGCTCCAGTGGCTTCCCTTTGGAGTTGACTTGTTACGACCCTTTTCCTGCTGCCCCGAACTCCAGGTTTCGCACACAGTTGTGGAACAACTCATGTAAAAATGCAAAATCATTTTCTATGGTGGCACTTTGGCTTAAAATAGCATTTTCAGCTTGGAAATCATGCAGTGTAGAATTTGCAACCTCCAAATGACAGCCTGCTGAGAAGTTTCTCAATCTGTCCCATCTCTCTCCCAGAAACACAGTTAGAGAACATTGTGTGATATATTATTTATGATTTATTAAAGCTTGCCCGAGGATTCAGAAAGCAAAGTCGGTCTCACGATAGAGAGATCAGGTAGTGCTGATACACACCTTTAATCCCAGCAGCCAGAAGCTAGGAAGTGGTGGTACACACCTTTAATCCTAGGACTCAGGATTAAGAGGCAGATGATCTCTCTGAGAATACATGAGATTGAATCAATCTAAAAAGTAACTGATCACACGCCTCTAATCCCAGCACTAGAGGGTTATAAAAGATAGAAGCAGGGTCTTAAGTATTCAGGAAGATGCATTCATTCTTTAACCACATGGAAGATAGGAAGACATCAAAGTCTCAGGATTCTCCAGCCAGGGTGAAGATAGGTTTCAGCGGAGCCAGAATTACCTTTCAGTCTGAGGTAGAGTAAGAGCTGGTGACCAGCTGCTTTGCTTTTCTGATATTCTTCAGCTTGAAGTTTGAACCCCAATATCTGTCTCTGGGTCTTTTATTTTTCATATTACAGAATATTGGTCAACTCCACTTGTATAAGCATCCCTGAGAGAGGCAACTGCTTCCAGCAGAGACAGGGGCCTTTTACCTGTAATACAATCATCCCTTCAGACAAACCTCAAAAGACTAGACAGCATGTGGTTATTTTATTGGTAGCTAAAACTATTTGATGTGACCATTAAGTCTCTTGACTTTCCAGTGTCATGGAAATGATCTGGACCCTTCTAGTCTTAGATTTTTTTGAGGTATCTCACAGTAGCAAACATGTGTCATTCATTTGTTCACCAAGGAGTAATCTGGAAGTCATGAAAAGAGCCGGGAAATATGCTAGGATGGATAATGAAATCGCCATGGTTTATTATTGAGCTAGGTTCAGAGACAATCTAAAGATCAAACAAGGGACCAAAAAGCACACTACAGTCCAGCCATGTGTCAGATGATTATGCCCCAATTAAAATTACCCTTGGGGTAAGTTTGTGACAGTGAAGACTAGTAGTCTTATGTTAACTATAAACTTATCTATGTTTTCAAAACTTTGAGAAGAAAATTTAGTAAAATACTAACTATAATTGGTGAGATAATGTATGTTTGTGGGCAGAGGTGATTGATATCTATTACCTTAATAATTATAGGCAGATGTTATCTTCTCAGCTTGAGTCTCCTGACAGAAAAGACATTTGCATGAGTGTCACTGTGCAATAAGATAATTAATTTGGTTCAAGATAAGTTGTTTCTCAATACTGAATTTCAAAGAGGTTTGTCTCTGCTATTGAGTGATATTATGTAAAGATACTAACAGTGTCCATACATCACCTGCAGAAGGGAGACTCTATTTTATGACCAGCCCCAAGAAAACCAGAGGCATGGTCATGGGAATGAGCTGTGTAGGGAGCTTGTGTCCCACTGAGGTTCTACTTCTGAATTCTGCATTTGCAATTTTACAGTGTTTGCTACATCTTGTGAACTGTGTGAGATGCACCTCACAGCTCTTTGTTAGCATCTCTGGTGCTGGAAGTCTGCCTTTTAACTGTGACTTGACCTTTCTCCCTCTCCCTCCAGGTGTTGCTGCACTGGATTCCAATGTATCTGGAAAAATTGGTCTGCGTGCTGTGGTGTATTATTTCTGCACCACCATCATTGCTGTGATCCTCGGTGATGCTTATTTCTGACTCCTTCTTCCCCTATGCATTTGTCACTTCATCTTCAAGAAGTAACTGAGCTTCTTAAAATGCACATTTTTAGCCAGCAATCAATACTGTCAAATTATCCCGGGCCTTTGCTGCCTTCAAATCTGCATAACACCTTTTACGTGAACAAAATGCAGTATGGACAGAATTTTGACCATAGCACTGGGTATCAAAGTCTCTGGTGAGAAACAGAGACAAGGTGACATTTCTGTGCCCTGTCAGTATCAGTGGGGAGAAAGAAGTAAGGCCAAGAGTTTATATAATCTTAAGGCAGATAATTAATCTAGAGTGGTAGAATATTTTTAGGAGACAGTTCCAGAAAGGGTGCCATGTATCCTCAGGTAGAAATAACAGAGTGGCGTCAATCTAATGAGGTGCCTTTATTTCAAATCCGTCTGTGGCTGATTTCATAGACTGAAGAACAGGAGAAAGATGACCTGGTGTGTCCAGAAGCAATTCTAGGAAGTTGCTCCTTCATTAAAAGGAAAGCAAGAAGACTTCTTCCTTAATGCACTTATTCACTTCGATGTGTGGGTTGGGGGCACGGTAGTGATTAGGGCTTAGCATCTTGTTGAGGAACCTGGAGCCCTCTGTGTCACAGTATTGCCTTGACCACCATGTCACCCAGTTCTCTAAAGACTGCCCCAGGATCCCAGCTGCCCTGGAAGGTTTTCATTGTCTATGAACACTATCCTTGGTCACAGGTATCGTGCTGGTTGTGAGCATCAAGCCTGGTGTCTCTCAGAAAGTGAGTGAAATTAACAGGACAGGCAAAAGCCCTGACGTCAGCACCGTGGATGCCATGTTGGACCTGATCAGGTACGTCTTGCTGGTGGTGACCTCCTGGATGGGTCGTTTGTACAGATGCACAAGGCCCCATGAGTGATCTAATGCTCCAGTGTCTAACATTTGTAAGTGCGTCTTAAATGAGTGTGTGTATGATGCACACATGATAAAGTCAGAAGACAACATCAGTCATTCATCCTCTGCTTCGGCCTTATTTGAGTGAGGGTCTTGTTGATGGCTTTTGTGCTGTATATGCTAGCACAGATGGCCCTTGAGCTTCTGCAGCTTCCCCTGTAACTGCCTCCATTTTTACCACATAGCCACTGAGATTAAGTATTACTACTGTGCCCAGCTTTACATGCATTCTGGGGATTTGAACTCAGATCCTTATGCTCTTGCACCAAGAACTTTACCTACTAAACCATCCCCCCAGCCCAATATCTTAACATTTTAATAATATTTAAATTAACTTGCACCTTCATTTTTGCTCTAAGTCCTACAAGTCACATAGCCAGTAATTTCTCTTCTCCTAGCATGGTGTAGAAAGCAATTCATAGACAGAACAGACCCTTGCCAGCGGACTTAGCAAGGACAGATAGGAGGAAATACCCTTGTTACATAAGGATGCTGGGCAGAACTGGGTGGCCACTTCTGAAGGTTACTAGAGAAATTCATGTTTCTATTTTATAGAGAAACCCTCTTTTCTAAAGTGGTTAGGCCACAAACCAATTAATGAATGGAAGAGTGTCAATTCAAGCAGAGCAAATGTAGAGGTTACAGGATATATACATATTGAGCAGTTTGGCAATGTAGGACCACAATTGGCAAATTGTCTCTATTTGTGACCTCCACTGTAATTGCATATAATTTCTCTGAATTTACTGACTTATAAATGCATTGTTAGAATCACTAGGTTCCGTTTCCACAGAGTGATGCGACCAAATCATGAGAAATTGCCAAGAAAGCCAAGTACTTAAATCCTTACTTTTCTCCTTATGTTTCAACTGTCCTACCATACCTAACTCAACTGCAGAAAATGTAGTCAGTTGGGTTTCTTAAGTCTCCAAGGTATGTAATTTAGCTATTTATAGGATCCATGCTGTTTCTTTCATACCCATATTTCATTGGTTCACATGTTTAATTTGGTAATTATGATAGAATTTGCAACAGACTGTTATAAAAATGGAAAGATACAGAAAATCAAACAACTGTCTCAACTCTGAGTAGTCATCTGCCTGTGCAGAATTTCTGAAATAACAGAAAGGGTGTCACTTAAGGAATCTGTTAAGTGGCAGTTGACTGGGGTGGGGGGCACTCAGCAAGGGGTGATATATATATATATATATATATATATATATATATATATATATATATATATATATATAATCATGTTCTCCGTGTCTCCAACAGGAACATGTTCCCTGAGAACCTGGTCCAAGCCTGTTTCCAGCAGGTAACATCAGTGGTTTTGTTCTTGAGTTGCCCCTCTGTCCCCATGGCCCACTGAGTCTTCATTTTCTCTAAAGTCACAAGAAATAAAATTAGCCTGTCAACACTTGACAGCAGAAAGCAAACTTGTGAACACTGGTTTCAGATGACTCCTGTCTTGAGGGCTGTAGTGAAATCGTGCCGTGGTTGACAGAGTTCTCTTACCCTCACATAGAAAAAAGCAAGAATCTGCCAACATGTGCTTTTTATTTGTTTGACTATTGGAAAGCCGGGTAATATTTGCGAAGAACTTGGACTTCCTGAAGATTCAGTGCAATGGACGGAAGGGCTGTCCATCTCTCCCTTCCCGTCCTTTTCATGATGACCATCTAACCCATACCGTGTTGGCCAGCCCACCCAGAACTGGGTCTTTTCTTAACGTTAAGTGTCCGTTGCTGGAGCCCCGCAGCAAAGCCAAGGCTGTTTTAGATTTCTCATGAATGTTTACCGTTGTCTTTGCTCTACTGAGAATCCCTTTTCTGTTTATCTGGGCTCCTTGAGACAGCTGAGTCTATCACAAACTGCTGTATTCATTTACATAAATTACACGGACAGAGACCTCTATATAAACCAAGGAAAAATGGTAACTGCACTGCTATCCTGCAGCCCCCACCAGGAACAGAGCCACCTCTATTTATGGGGTGCAGCTCAGTTACAGTGACCGTTTGTAGGGTTCGAAGTTGGCAGAGATTCTGTATGGAGGACATTTCTTTCGAGCACCATAATAGAACAGCTTTTTCTCAATGCACCATGATTAAAGCCTTGCAGAACCAAACAGGGCTGGCTGAAGGGAGGAATTCAACAGGAATCTCACAGCATAGCCCTGGGGTACTGTTGATCTGGACACAACCACCCAGATACACCTTTCTCGAAACTTATTAGTCACCATGACTATTTTTATCAAAGTGCTAAGGTTATTTTTCCAGATTAAAAAATGATCAGTTTATAAAAACAAAAATGGTTGGCAGGAATCCCCCCGTCTGTGAAAGTACCTACAGGTAAAAACCTGCTTCCTTTGCATCATGTCTCTACACATTTTCCCCTGTCATTAAAGGGGAACAACATTCTTGTATTACTGAATGGCAATTGTCTGGGGTTTGGATTTTTAGATCCCATTTTTCAGTCCCAGTGCCTCCTGGGAAGGATCTTCAAAAATGAGAAGCAACAGATGCATCACCAGTAGAACCCTTAGGTGACAGTTATTTGGTCAAAATAACATCCCTGTAGTATAGCCCCAATTGGATGCTTAAAACGCTCTTTTTACTTTGTGTGCAATTGTTTTTCTCCAATGGGCAGTACAAAACCAAGCGTGAAGAAGTGAAGCCTGTCAGTGATCCTGGGGGGAATGTGACAGAGGTGGCTGTCACCACCGCCATGGCAACAATGTCTAAGGTACCATCTGCTACCCCGCCCTCCCCGGCATACATGTGCCAGTCTTGAGTGGCAGAAGAAAGACATTTCAGTTTTATTATGCATAGAATCTACATTTGTGAGTCCCTCTTCTCCAAATGTATCTGTAGCCCTGAAACCTTTTGAAGTCCCTCAAGAGTGGCACAAGACTGAGTCACCCACAGCAAACTGGGGTTGAATGAGGCCACAATGTATCTTCATTTTAGTTTTCATTCAATAAACAAACATACATACATGTTGGAACATGTTCTAGCCCATCTTTGTTTTCCTTTCATGCATTTCCTTGGTGATCTTGCAGTCTGTTTTTTTCATTTTGTCCTGTATTGCATTCAGGATATCTTTAGCTAACTCTTTATGTGGGTATGTAGATGGTCAGGGATACTGGGAATTGAGCCTTGGGTCTCCTGCATGCCAGACAAGCATTCTATCCTTGAGCTATTTCCCCAGTGCATGCTCACGCTCTCTCTCTCTCTCTCTCTCTCTCTCTCTCTCTCTCTCTCTGTGTGTGTGTGTGTGTGTGTGAGTGTAAGCGTGTGTGTGTGTGAGTGTAAGTGTGTGTGTGTGTCTGTCTGTCTCTGTTTCTCTCTATGGCTCTGTCTCATGAGTGCATAATAATGGCTGTAATTGAGGTACTCACATACTTCTCATGCACTTTGCTCTTAGTCACCCCCATTATTTTCTCTGTTCTGTTCTCCCTATGAACCCCATTTACTCTCATATGGTATGCATATTTGTATGTGTTTGAGTGTGTGTGTGAGTGTGTTGTGTGAGAGAGAGTATGTGTGTGTATGACTCTACCACTAAGTTTCACCCCAGCCCTATAGACTTTTCAATCTGGAGTCCATATAGAAGAGGAAACCTGCAATGTTTGAGTCTGGCATATTTTGTGTCAGTTCCCATTACACTTTGTTCTTGCAAATGGCGTCATTTCATTCATCTTTAGAGATGAATGAAACCCCACTGTGTACATACACATGTCCTCTATTCATCTTTAAGTAAGTGCCCAGCCCATTTCTTGGCTGTTGTGGATAGTGCTACAATAAACATCAAGGTATTTCTGTGCTGTGCTGTGGGGACTTTGAGTGTGTACCAGGAGTGGTACGGCTAGATTGTATCTGCAACACCTCTGCATCCTTGCCAGCGCTTGTTTTCTTAATGATAGCCATTATGACTGGGATAAGACAAAATCTCAGTGTACTTTTAATTTGTATCTCCCTGATGATGAAAGATAGTTCACATTTTTCATATATTTATTGGCTATCTGTTGATTTTTACTACATAAAATGGACAGAAGCATAGTAATAAAATGCTCTGTAATGCTTCTAAGTATAAGAACACAGTGATGCACTTTGCAGAAAAAAAAATATGTGTTAGAAAAGCTTCATTCAGGCTTATGTCTAGTCCTGTTATCTGTGAATTCCATGTTAATGAATCAATCTATATAGAAAAGCAGACATCTCTAAATAGAAACGCACATTAAGCAATGGCATGCACTGATTGCTTGATATAAACGATTTGACAAGGCTTGTTATTTCTCCGTGGGGTGCTAACATGGTGTTCATGGGGACTTTATAGAACATGACTATCAGGAGTAAAGAGCATTTACTCTTCATAGAGAGAAAATGATGAGCCTTGTTTGTACTTCGGCCTCTCCATACCTCAGGCACTGTTTTAGGTTTGCAAGGCTATAAAGACAGACTGCAGTCCCCTGGCTCCTTGTCTGAATCTCTTGCCTGTATGTGAATCTGAGTCCAGAGCCTCTTGTATTTCACAGGGCCTCATGGCATGTGTGCCAGGTTCCCTATATGGGATCCAGCATCACTCCAAAATCAAGTGCCACCAATGTTTCTCCAACAAACTCAAGTATGTTCTGCCATGTCAGAAACACAGTGTCCTCCTCTCCATTCAGAACAGTTTTTGTCATTAGAGTAGACCATAAAGTTATCAAGAAAATCAATAGGCTTTGAGAGCTATTGAGGTTTTTGCACTGGAGAATCAAATTTGTGGGCCTGACGTGGTACTTTGTAGGCCCACAGTAGACCCCGAAGGAAATACTTGTTCTGGGTTTGAAGTGGGAGAGACAAGTGGGGAGGGCAGGAGGGAGATTTAGGGCAAAGAACATTCAGCCAACTTATGAAGTAAACTAAAGCTGGCTATGATGGTGCATGATTATAAGCCTAGCACGTAAGAGGTTAAGGCAAGATCACAAGTTTGAAGCCATCCAGGGTTACTGAATGAAACCCTGTCTAAATAAGTAGGGGCTCTGGAGAGATGGCTCAGTGGTTAAAAGCACTTGCTGCTCCACGTTGGGTAGCTCACAACAATCTGTACTCCAGCCCCAGAGAATCTGATACCCTCTTTTGGCCTCCATAATTATCCTCACACAAACACGTACACACACATACGTAACAAATATGGGAATAAATATAAACTCAGCAGGCCATTGTTGGTTCCCTGCTTCCTACTGCAAAATGAAAGCAAAAAGCCTTCATTTCTCCCAACTATGCCCATGGGCCCCCTCTGTGGCCAGGCTTCTTGCCTCCTAGGATGGAGGTGTGGCTCTCTTCTATGCAGACCCACCCTTTACTTGCTCCTTTTTCCTGACTTTTGACAAGATTTCAGTTTTCTGAGCACACTCCATATTGGAGTTGCTGCTGCACATTAAGAAGATAGTGGAAGAACAGATGTGACATACGACAGATTTGTCATATTCTCAGCAAGGAATGATGAATGTCATCATCAGAGAAACCAGGCTGCTGTGGGAATATTGGGGGCCATAAAGGATGAAGAAGAATCATCAGAGCAGGTTACAGAGACCAGGTGCATCACACCTTCTGCCTATGGCATGCATCTTTCTTGAACATGCTTTTACTCTTGGGAACTGTGATGGTTTGAAAACAAATGGCTCCCAAAGGAAGTGGCATTATCAGGAGGCATGGCTTTGTTTCAGTGGGTGTGGCCTTTCGGAGGAAGTATGTCACTATGGAGGCAGGCTGTGAAGTCTCATATATGCTCAAGACACACCCGGTGTCTCAGTTCACTTCCTGTTGCTTGTCAATCAAGATGAAGGACTCTCAGCTCTAGTACCATGTCTGCTTGCACACTGCCATGTCCCACCATGATGATAATGGACTAAACCTCTGAAATTATAAGCTGCCACCTCAGTTAAATGTTGCCGCGATCGTGATGTCCCTTCACAGTAATAGAAATGCTAACTAAGATACCTACCCCTCACCTAGCTTTCCCTAACTTTATAGACATGACTCATGTCCTAGTTTCTGTGTGACACTTGTAACTCATACTGTGGCTGCGCAGTTAATTGGCTGCTATCATAGTATTGGCTTTGGTTTCTCACTGCTCATCCTATGTCTTCAACTACATTTTCAGGCCTTGCACCACAGACTATGCAGTTAGAACACCCTAGCTGCACCATAAACATTTGTTCTGCCACAAATAAGAAATGACTGGCACTGCATTGGCTCACCAGCATAATTTTTATAGATCTGGCCTGCCCCACATAAATTATGCTATCACTTAGTAAATCTCATGTTATTTTTGGCTCAGAATGAAGAAATAATTCATAGTGCAGATGTCTGACTAGTTTTCATATCTTTAAAATCCTGTTGGTCACATCAGACTGAAGGCAATGATGAATCTCCCTTGGATTCATCATCAGGAAGGAACAGATGGTATAATGTCCTCTATATGTTCATGCTGGTAAACACCATGTAGTTCTTGTATTATTAATTTCTATCCTTTTTTTAAAAAAAAAAAAAGTCTACAAATGTAACTATTGGTTAACCCTGAAAATGCCCCAATTCTAAAATTCATAAAAATTCACAACATTGCAGCATTGGAATTTTTCAAAAGACACGTTCACAGAAATGGGCTTGTTAGAAGAAAAAAAGAGCAACCCCTTAAACTTCAGTGTCTAGAGGCAAAGTGTTTCATGTACAGGCTTCCTTCATTAGCATTATACCTCTGACTTAGATCACTATGATTCCCAGCATACTTCAGTACATTTTCTTGGGTTTTGATCCACAGAACAAGACAAAGGAATACAAAATCGTGGGCCTGTACTCAGATGGCATCAACGTCCTGGGCTTGATAATCTTTTGTCTTGTCTTCGGACTTGTCATTGGGAAAATGGGAGAAAAGGGGCAGATTCTGGTGGATTTCTTCAACGCATTGAGTGATGCAACCATGAAAATCGTCCAGATCATCATGTGGTGAGCAGCGCTGACAGGCGCCATTTTGCTTCCCATGACAACACCTTCTCAGAACTGGAAAGGAGAGCCATGCATTCCTCAGCAGGGCCTCCCTAGAGAAGGCAGATGCTTAAAATCAAGACTGGAGTATTAACTAGCTTCACACCCTCCTCAGGAGTTAGTGTAATACTGAAAGTCTGTCAGTCGTTGTCTCTTGCCTCAGAGGCCTGGCAAGCAGCCTGTACCCACCCAGCATTCCTGTCAGAAAGAATGTGAGAAAGTTCCTGAGGTATATGGACACAAGGTGCTTTTCTTCTTAGGCCCTACACAAGAATGAAATTCAAAATATCTCAACTATTCTAGCCTGGGCATGACCCCATCTGAACTGTCTTCTGGCATCCAGAGACATTGCTTGTCTGCCCTGCCTCTGAGATGCCCAGAAGTTCAGCTTTCCTGGCAGACCTCTCCCTCCCCCATCTCATGTGGAATTGGCTCAACATTTTATAATCCAAATGGTAAAAACTGACAGTAAAATATCCGGTGGTAACTGCCAAGGAAGTCACTTAATCCCATTAAAACTTCAGCTTCATCATTTGTAAGAAAAAGATAGTAAAACCTACCCCCAGGGCTAGGGGAAGAACATTAAGTGAAATGATGTGTGTAAAACGCTCCTCCAGCATAAGACATAGCTAGGCAGAGTTCCACAAGCAGAGCTATCGTGGTTATCCCACTGCTGCTACTATTGCCTCTATCGATGACACCTGAGAAGCCAGGTGATTGAGAAAGAGTTTGCTCGTATGAGATGAGCAGCTATGACAGTCACTGAGGAGGGTGTGTATATGAGATGCATATGTATGATAGTCACTAGGGGGTATGCATATGAGATGCACAGATATGACAGTCACTGCGGGGGGGGGTATGCATATGTGATGCACAGATATGACAGTCACTGGGGGTATGCATATGAGATGCACAGATATGACAGTCACTGGAAGGAGTATGTATATGAGATGCACAGATATGACAGTCACTGAGGAGGGTATGCATATGTGATGCACAGATATGACAGTCACTAGGGGGTGCGTATGAGATGAGCAGATATGACAGTAATTAGGGGTTGCATGAGATGCACAAATATGACAGTCACTAGGGGGAGTGTGCACTGTATGGATGCTTCTGTAGCGCACATTCTTATTCTTACCAACTGCCCTTAATTTGGGGTGCGTAAAATGTAGAGAGCATGCAGATACCAAGGACAGTCATGCATGCTGGACTCAAAGCTGTGAACCCTTGGCTTCCTGATTGTAGCCTGTGGTCCTCCTAGTGGTGTGAGCATGCCCACACTAGCTTGTTTCCTCCCTAGCATCCTGTCTGAGAAACGCTCTGATGACTGAATTGTGTCTTTCCTGTGTTTGCTTTCTAGCTACATGCCAATTGGTATTTTGTTCCTAATTGCTGGGAAGATCATAGAAGTGGAAGACTGGGAAATATTCCGCAAGTTGGGCCTTTACATGGCCACTGTCCTGAGTGGGTATGTCCAACTCAAGAGAAGAAACAATTCGTGGCTGACGCGCTAGGGTGACTGTAGAAAGGCCAAGGTGGAGCTGGTTAGATGTGGTTTTTCTCCCATGTTCAGGGAAAGATGGAATTTGGAGATAAGAGAGCATCAAGGCTGCCCTTTAACAGCTGTACCGTAGGTGGATCATGCTGTGCTAATTGTCAGCTCCTGGCAGAACAGCGTGAACCAGCCTTTGCCCTTGCCTCTAGTGGTTGGGTTTAAAACAAGAGAAACATTCATTTGTAGGCTCTTGGGGCCATCTCCTGCCCTTTACTTCCTCTAGAATGTAAACTAACCAAACAGGAAAGAATGCCTCCCACATATCCCAAAGCTGAAAGAAATTAAGAAGGACCTAAATAAATTCCATCTCAAGCATGTAGGACTGGTTTTGATTCTGATGTTCTTGCTGGGCTGGTGGCTACTGCTGTGTCTTGTTGTCACTACGGTGTCAGGGTGCTGGAGAGATCATTAGACTATTTAGTAAGGGTTTGATACCTTTCAGAAGCCATAAAACAAACAAGAAGGTAACAGGGTTGAGTAGCTGTTGGCTCCTTCAGAAGAGGTGCCATAGGTTATGAATGGTGCCCCCAGACACCTGGCCGAGGACAGACTGGTCCTATCTACTAAGAGCTATGGAGCAAGAAATGAGTAAAATACACTGATTTGCTTTCCATGGGCCAAACACCTTGCTCGAGCCATCAGCTTCCCTCTCAGAACCTGGCTACATGAAGGAATCCCCAGCATTGGTTGTTAACCGCAGTGTGTCAAAAGCACAGCTTTCCAGCCATACAGAAGCAGCCTGGTCCTACGGTGTGAGGGTCAGAGTTGAATGGCTAGACCACAGACATCAGAGAGGTGGGGCTTCTACCTCAGCAGCCCTGCACTGGAGCTGCTGAGACAAGCAAGACTAGGGGCAGAGGTGGGCAGTGATTGGCTGAGATCTGGAACAATAAGCCATTTCATATTGGGGTTCTGTTGCGTTCTTGTCTCTTGCTTTATTTCTGTTTCTAACAGGAAACTAAACATCTTAGCTAAGATCTCCTGATTCTCTGAACTGAGGACTCTCCCCTCAGACCCTCAAGATTTGATCACTGCTTATTATTCAAACTTGTCTAACTGAACTGTCAGCTTGCCACTTACATGTACATACTGTCTGCTAGTGGGTCTTATTTAGGCAACCCCCCTTAGAGTAACCTGTAGATTCCTACGTGAGGCACTTTGGGAAGACAGGAAAAATAAAGAAATGAGGGCCAGACCTAACAAGTTTTTTTTTTATTGCAACTCTGGTTTCCCTCTTAAATAGCAGACCCCATCCCTGAGCCTAGTCCAGAGGATGGAATGGAGTGATGAAAGCTATAATGAGGTAGTGTGCTTGGGGACAGATGTGACCTTGGAGAGAGGATCAGCTCAGCCAGTGAAGGTGTGGAAAGCAGGAACTTTACCTGAGGTTTAGGGAGTGATTAAAAATTCTGGAGAGAGAGGGGGGAGGGGAAGAGAGAGAGTAGTACTCTGTAAAAGGGGCAGAGAGAAACATCACTACACATTGAGTAGGAATGTCGATTACAATGATAGAGCAGATGACATGACCTTCGGTGAGCTTGGACATCTATTCAGCTACCTGATTTGCTGATAACTTTGACAAGGTGTCTCATTTGCTGAGCGAGCCTTGACATCCTCAGCTGTGGAATTGGGACAGAGGCTTGCTGTCAGCATCCACATTTCACTGGGTCCTTTATGCAAGTTTTAAGATGTCATCATTTTAAAAACTGATTGAAGCCAGGCTCAAGTCTGAGGAAGTGGTACTGAGACCTTCTCCTTCTTGTCTGCAGGCTTGCCATCCACTCCACTGTAATACTGCCCCTGATCTACTTCATAGTTGTGCGGAAGAACCCTTTCCGGTTTGCCTTGGGCATGGCGCAGGCTCTCCTGACAGCTCTCATGATATCTTCCAGGTAACTAGAAGGGAGTCTTGGAGGAGCCTCCAAACAATGCTCTCCACCTTCTGTTACTTGGTGAAGATGACTCCAGCTTCTGGTTGAATAGACACCTTTGAGAGATGGTGCCTCTGTTCTCTGTCCATCAGTTTGAATGTACTTCTCCACACTTTTGAACACTTCCTACACTCTTTGGTGGCCTGATACCCAGAAAATATTCTGCTGTAACTGGGGTCAGTGGTAGGCACAGCACCTTCCAATTCATGGATTGGCCCAAAGTACCAGCATATGGACTGGAGAGGTCTGGGGTTCAAGTCCCAGCACCCACATAATGGCTCACAAACATCTGTAACTCTCAATTCCAGAAGAACCAACACCTCTTCTGACCTCCATGGCCACCAGACACACAGACATGCTTTCAGACAAAACACCCATGCACATAAAAATAAAATAATAAATTATTTTCTTAACTGCCAGCATCCTCTGGGGCCCTTTGTTCACTTTTTAGAAGACAGGGATTCTTTTCAGTTGGAGACCGAGGCCTGTCGTCCTTAGACCTAAACTCATTTCCTTTGATCCCACAGTTCAGCAACACTACCAGTGACATTTCGCTGTGCAGAAGAAAAGAACCAGGTGGACAAGAGGATCACAAGATTCGTGCTGCCTGTCGGTGCCACCATCAACATGGACGGCACTGCGCTCTACGAAGCCGTGGCAGCTGTGTTTATTGCACAGCTGAATGGCTTGGACTTGAGCATTGGGCAGATCATCACCATCAGGTGAGGCATAGTGTCGCTCTCATTCGCATCACTGCTCATTGGACTGCCTCAAGTAAACATGATCCATGAACCCAGACCAAGAAGGCGTCTGGGTAACTGAAGCATCTCTCTGTTCAGCTCAATGTGACCAGTAGGTGCTAGATACAGATTAGACACCTAAGACTCAAGGTTAAATGAGAGTCAGCCCCTGCTCTAATGGGAGTCCCTGGTGGGTGGGCGGGTGAGATACCCAAATAAATATTGGATCTGTGGTAGGGCTCTCATGGATAATTAACTGGGGTCACAGGGTGGCCCCAATGAGGGAAGGGTCAACTCTACCTGGGAAGGGAAGGGAAAGAAAGGGAAGGGAAAGGGAGGGGAAGAAGGGAACTGGGGTAGGGAAGGAAAGAGAAGGGAGGGGAGGGGGGAGGGGAGGGAAGGGTGAGGGGAGGGGAGAGAAGGGGAGGAAAGGAAAGGATTCTTAGAGGGTCGGGAAGTTATAGGTGAATCTTAGATGAGGAGTAAGAATTCAGCAGGAAAAAGACAAAAGCTAAGAGCTCAGAACAGCAGAAGTATCTCATGGCCTAATCAGAATCTAGATTCTTTAGCCATAAGAGCCCTGTGTGGAGGATCTAGTATAACAGTCTATCATATCATGGATAGATTTGTATTTTAACAAGATAATTAGCAATATGATAGGAGGCTAGGATGGGAGCAGGGACCACAAATTAGAAGATCAGTAAGTCACCAAATGGCCTATAGCAAGACATATACTGGGCTCACCTCTGAGTTCGTCAATCACACAGCCACCATCTGGATTCAGGCTAAGGGATAGGAAAAGGCTGAGGTGGGTGGTTCGAGCTCGTGAGAACGAGAAGCAAAAGCAAGGGGGAAATAGTTTGTACTTTTGAATTTGAATGCCTTTAAGAATTCTAGGGGCTGGAGTGATAACTCGGTAGTTGAGAGAACTGCCTTCCAGAAGACCCAAGAAGCTACCCATGCTGGGTGGCTCAAAACTGCCTGGACCCATTTCCTGGGGAGCCAGTGTCTCTGCAATTACATAAGTGCCTGTACTCATAGGCACAAATCCTCATGTGTACATGCAAACACACACACACACACACACACACACACAAGTAAATTTAAGGCAGGCAGTGGTGGTGCACACCTTTAATCCCAGCACCTGGGAAGCAGAGGCAGGAGGATCTCTTGAATTCAGGACCAGCCTGGTCTATAAAGTGAGTTCCAGGACAGCCAAGGCTTCACAGAGAAACCCTGTCTTGAAAACACAAAAAGAAAAGGGAAATTTAAAACATCAGAAACTGTGCAGATGTGACTGAAGATAGAGATCTGAACTACAAACCCAAACGTCAGGGTCAGTCGCTTAACCGTGGTCATAGGACATGAGGGTGACAAGTCAGGAGTCTGTCTGAATCAGTACCACCATGACTAGTTATGACTGTAACCTTGGGCAAGCTATCTGAGTTCTCTGCATTCTGTTTTCTCATCTGTAAGTGGAGGAAATAATAGTGCCTATGATTTATTCAAATATGGTAAATGAGAGGATGTTTATAAAGTCTTATTGCCTACACAGTGCGTCCCCGGTAAATGTTAGGAATAGAATAGATGGCATTATGCAGAAAGGGTTTGTAGAGAAGAGGAAACTGAGGGGAAAGCCTCAAAAAAATCCTATTAGAGGTAGGTAGGATGGGGGGGAAGGAGAGGGAGAGGGGAAAAGAATGGGAGGTGGGAGGAAGCCAGGGGCATTGTGGAAATCTAGAGTGGCCTATTTCCAAGGATTAAAATGGTTCAGTGTCTAATGCAAAAAAGAATTCAAGGCAAATGAAGACTGAGGAGGTCATAGAAATGGCATTGGTGAATTCTGTTGGTGTTGTTTCCTAGGGATGACATTACGTAGCCACTAGCCCTGTGTGGCCAATGACTGACTGAACTGGGTAGCACAGGTGTATACCATTACTGCGGACAGCTCTGCTGAATTGCACTGTATCTGAGTGACAAATGGGGATTCCAGTTGATCTTGGGTTGATTTATGTTTCATGCACATTTTATGCATAGCCATATACATTCATACACATATGTGATCTGTCATGTGGAGCTTTCCATTCATATTGTCTTAGATTTTGGAGACTGTAGGATGTTGAATTTCCAGAAGAGATATTGATGTCATTGTGGTGTGGCTGATTGGGGCTGCAGGAACAGAGTCCTCTTCTCTGCTGATATAAAGACTAAAAACGCTGGCAAGGCAAGGCCTCAGCACTCAGCCAGGTTTTATTGAAAACAGAAACACACACACACACACACACACACACACGCACGCACGCACGCACGCACACACACGCACACACACACACACACACACACCACACCACACACAGAGACAAGCTCTTCCAGTAGTAGAGAGGATCCAGAAGCCAGAATCTGAGTTTTCCTGGCAGAGCCAAAGCTTTCATGTTTGAGGGTGGATGAGTTCCCTTTCTCCCTCAGGACCGGCTGTTTTGGGCTATTGCAATGCATTGGGTAATCCAGACAAAGAAAAGCTGATTGGTTCCCACAATCAGAGCCCCTCTCTCCATGTAAAAATCAATACCACATAGTCTCCTCTGTCAGGACAAACATCAAGTTTTTGTCTTAAAGAGGGAGGAGGAAGTCAGCCATCATAAACGTTTGTGGGAAAGTACATTAGTCAACCTAGCGCTTCTTTGCCCTGTCTGCCTGCCTACCAGACAGCTGCTAGCCTCCTGGTCCCTCAGTATGCTCACCCAGCAGTGGGTAGTCAGTGGCTACTGTACTCAGCTTCATGTGTATTGATCCTAGCAGAACAGCAAAAGTGGCAGATTTATAGTTTGCTGCACAGATACTATCCTGATCTTTATACGACTTTGTCTACATAAAAGCCATGCAGACATCTGATCCCTCAAATCCAAGCAAGGAGCTGATTCAGAGGAACACCTTGCTGAAGAAAATGCTCAAAGCAGATTGGCAGAACCAGGAACACAGCCAGATGTGTCTGACTCCAAAACCTGTGTCTATACTACTTGTCAGCCCGGTCTCCAGTCCCGCTGCTAGGAGAGAACCCTGTATCTCAGAAGCTGAAAACCCTTTTGCTGAAGCAGGAAATGTTAAAGCAGATGATTTGGTTTCATTTATTTCCCCTTATCTGAAGATATAATGTTCTGAATGTCACACCAAAGCCAGTCAAATGACAGATGTTCTGTGAGCAAGGTCAAGGCTCAAGGGCAAACTGAACAGATTCTGAAGTCCAGCCTCAAGCTTGTAAGGACATGGCTAACCATGACATGTAGAGGCTTCCAAGGAGGATCAATGAGCCTGAGCACATGCCTCTTTCAACAAAGAAAACCCATTGATGCACTTTAAATTTTTTTTCAACTAGCGTTGAAATAAGGTTAGATTTTTCCAAAGAGGACTTAGGACAGCTCTGATGATGTAAGCCTCAAACTTTAGAGATGCTGCACAACTCCAGAACTCTCTAAGTCACTGCAAGCCAGTAGCTTTAAGTACTAGGCAAAGAGCCTGGCTGGCTTTTGACCCATGAACAGCCTCTAGAACACAGCACTGGGCAGATGAATGGGCAGCAGACTCCATTTTCTGAGAATGTAGAGATCTTTGCCACCCACAGGGATATCGATGTGGCTAGATCTGGACGTCATCTAGTTGAACTGAGCAGTTTCTGCACCTTTGCCTTTCAGCCCACCCGCATCTGCAAGTGGTACTGTAGCCTGAGGGTGAGGCATAGTTCCAGGAAGCACTGTGGGTGTCCCTGCCAGCTCATTCAATTCAAAGGACTTCCAGGGTACAGTGAGCCTTGATTTCTCCAGAATGACCCAATTAAAATAAACATACTGCTGGTGAGAAACTGCATATTGCCAGGAGAAAACTCTCTCCTAGTGTGTGTGCTCAAGGGGGATTTTGTCCAATACATGGTCACTAAGTCCCTTCGGCTGCCCACCCTGGGTTCCAGATCTCTCCTCCTTTTTTGAACAAAGTGCACATGCTGGAATGAAGGGCCAGTCAGGAATGCTTGTATGCTTGTACCTTCAATGGCATCACCGTTTCTCAATTCAGTTCCCTGAACAGGTGTTCTTGGAGAAGGCCAGAGTCTTGTGATATTGGGAAATTACGTAAAATTTGCTTAAGCATGGCTCTTTCCATTTGCCTTCACCTCAAACATCCTTGCCCATCCACTCCACTGTCCCTCTAGTCACCTTCTCAGGCAACAGAAATTCCTGGCACACACTGAGTGCTCTGCTAATGATTAGGCAGCAGAGACTGAAGGGGGAGGGACACAAGCAGGGAGGGATCTCACACTTAGGATAGGGACACTGGATGGGTAAATTCCCACCATCCTGAGTAATTCTGCCTCCGCGTTGATGTTACTTGTTGCTATTCTATAATTCCTTGCTTTAGGATGACCTGCCAAATCTCTCCTGCTGTCATGACACAATCCCCAGCAGTTCCCATCATATGTGCATGTGTATCCACACACACACACACACACACACACACACACACACACACACACACACACACACTGGATGGATTATAGGCAGATAGATAACAGATACACATGAGTCACAACTGATGACTTAACAGGTCCTAACTGTCCACTGTAGGAACATGACAGTACCAGCCACGGAGCCTGTTTCAGTCTAACCCTTTCCTGCCATTGTCTTTTGGCTCCAGTATCACAGCCACAGCTGCCAGCATTGGAGCTGCTGGCGTGCCGCAGGCCGGCCTGGTGACCATGGTGATCGTGCTGAGTGCTGTAGGCCTGCCTGCTGAGGATGTCACCCTCATCATCGCTGTGGACTGGCTCCTGTGAGTTGGAATAAATACCCCTGCCTCTGTTGGTTGGGAGGCAGCTTCCCAGCCACGCAGAATCTTTGCTGTGCTCTGCTTGCCTGCTTACAATGCCTAATGAGCCATCTGTTGCTGCTTTCGCTTCCTTTTGGCAAAGCCGTCTGGTAACATGCTTAAATTTAACTCTTCATAACTTCAGCAGGGGTTCTCAAAGGCTGTGAGCTCCATCAACTCATGGTATTACCTGGTGACACTTAAGGTCAGAGGACAAGATTAAATGTGAGACAATATAGGGAAGGAGCAGAGTAAGACCCCATAGCCATCCCCACATATCCCAGCCCCAAGATAGCTTCATGAACACAGGACCACCTGCTTGGAAATCACTGCATCTTTCCAGGTATCTTTGGAATCCTCTGGGCTGGTGACAAGAGCGCCTGTGTTCAAATCTGGTATCTTACTAGGTTTGGGATCTTGAGCACACTTTAACCCCTGAGGCCCAATTGTATTATTTATGGGATGGGAAAAGTTATGCCTACCTCAGTGGTTTGATATAGGGACCAAATGGGTTCACATGAGCCAAGTGTCTAGAAATATGCCTGGCAGTTCAGTTCCTGCTCATCACAAGGAAAGTTCTATTATTGTGATGGCAATGAGTCAACCCACTTAGCCCCAGACAGCTCTCTTCCACCTTATACATGCATCCTCCATACACAGAACAATCTGTGTGAGAATATGACCCCTTGATGCCCAAAGTTGAAAGTGGAGTAGCCTGGTCTTTGGCTTTATTTTTGAAACTTGCATATACCTTCCAGTACCAAGGTGTGGCTCTGCCCCCTAGCCATCAGTGTTAAGTGTAGCTCCATATTGAACCTTGTCTCAGATTAGAGAGACACCAGGGTTGTACAGTTTATATAGCAGCTAAGAATGGAGAAAGGGAATCAGGTCATGCTGTGAAGGTTCCAACCTTGTACCTGGCTTGGAAGCCGGGATACTGCACAGAATGGGCATCTCGGGTAAAGGAAGAAACCAGGCTAACAAACTCTGGCTTTTCCTAGAAGCAGTGACTCTCCACAAGATAAGTGTAAGGCCCAAACTATAGGATGCAAAGATACTGGTCCAGTACTGCTCCTGCTAGAAGGGCATCCACAATGACATGTGCAGTCACTGTTGGCCTTTCCTGTCTCCCAAGTGTCATCTCACAAGGCTACCCATGTTCACAGTTTTCTCCAAATTCTACTGTCAAAATGGGCACACCCTCTGTAGGCCTTCCTGCCAATGGCCTCTTCTCTTGCCTGCCTGAGACTAAGACAAATGGAGGGTGTATCAAAAAGGAATCAATTTCTTGGTTGGCCAATAGTTTTGGGATGTCATGTTCTTCTGTGTCTTTGCCAGGTTGTTCATGGAGTGAACTTATTTGGTAAAGAAATGAGTATACCAGGGACACACCTGAGGCCCACATACTTGGTACCATCCACCCCAGCCAAATGTTCAGTTTCTCTCACCTTAGCCAAAAGAGAGTCCATAATACCAGTGCATTATACCCAGGAAAGCCACAAAAACAAAGTCAGAGCTTGAAGACTTACTTAGTTCTCAGCCATCCTTGGTATCCTCCATGTATCTCGTTGGAGATCCCATTCTTATTTAGGAAGAAATGAGGGAATGTCTGGAGACTTGAGAGGTCATTGCTGTCTTCTGGGAGCATGGGCCAAGTAGAGCCCATTTCCTCATTCTGCCCCTTTGGGAGCCACCTCCTGCCCCAGACCAGTGAGGCATCTGTCGAGCCAGGGGGAGGGCTTCTGCACCCAACTCTGATTCAGAGCATTTCTTTCTCCACACATCAGTGGAGGAAGATGAAATATGGGCCCATCTGACTCTCCTGTCTCCTTGCCAGGGACCGGTTCAGGACCATGGTGAATGTTCTGGGTGATGCATTTGGGACTGGCATTGTGGAGAAGCTCTCCAAGAAGGAGTTGGAACAGATGGACGTTTCGTCTGAAGTCAACATCGTGAACCCCTTTGCTTTGGAACCCACAATCCTTGATAATGAAGACTCGGATACCAAGAAGTCCTATGTCAATGGTGGCTTTGCAGTGGACAAATCTGATACCATATCATTCACCCAGACCTCACAGTTCTAGAGGCCCAGCTTCAGGGGACTGGGATGAGGCGGACATCTCCTAGCAAACTCCAACATTAACAAATGAGAGAAACACTAAGAGTCAACTGCACATTTAGTTTGATAAACAGACCTCCAGATTATTTTCTATATTTGGCTTTATGGCCTTTGTTCTCTGGGTTTGGGAATTTGGGGTGGGGTAAAATGACAGGAAATTAAGACAGTTGTATTATCTGGATTTTTCTAATTCTATAAAACAAAGTTTGGAAATATATGAAGTAGCTGTTGAAATTAGGTAATGGATATGGAAGAGAAATTGCTCTCTTGTGCATAGACCAATGTTTGGGGTTTTTAAACAATATTATTATTGGCTACAAATTTTTACTCAGGCTTTCTATTGGCGTGACTTCCTTTGCCTTCTCACTTTTTATATAAGAGCCCCAGCCAGTTAAAGTGCCAAATTTTCCATTTTGACCTCATCTTCAGCCACTCTCAAACTACTCAAAAAAAAAGAAGAAGAAGAAGAAGGATCAGCACAGTTCTGCAATAATAGTTTTAAGATAGTTGTGGGGTTAGGGGAAGGGAGAGGGTTTTTTATTCCATGTACTGTATTGGGATGCTGGTAGCTGTTTAGCCAGTGTTCGGTATAGAGGTTTATGTATATGTGTGTATATTTATTATTTTCATATAATTTGCAAGACAGAGATCAGTAATGAACTATCAATGTGAAATAAGACGCTCTCCTTGTACTTGAATCAAAACTGCAATTCCAAGCCAGGCAGTGGTGACCCATGCCTTTATTCCCAGCACTTGAGAGACAGGGACAGACAGTTCTCTAGGAGTATGAGGTCAGCCTGGTCTACAAAGTGAGTCCCAGAACAGCCAGGGCTACACAGAGAAACACTGTCTCAAGAAAACAAACAAACAGGCAAACCCTGCAATCCCACTGAGGTGTACTTTGGAGCCCACCAGAGCAGTCAGGAGCTCTGGGATGAGAAATCAAGTTGCTGGGTTACTGTGTTTCAGCCCTAAAGCAGTAATATATAATGGTGAAATTCTATGGTGGCACAGCCAATCATTTCCAACTCCCAGACCCAAGCTCCCTCCAGGGAGGGAATCCCTGTTGGCAGTGAATAAATGGATTTAAAAGGCAGCTCTCCCAAAGGCTGGGTGTACTCAGAGTCAAACAAGGCTTCAAGGCTTCGTTCTTCATGTACACTCAGGCCTACTTCACAAGGCTATCACTTCACTGCCCTTGGTCCTGTCTGCCCCGCAGACACAACAGAGGCAAGCCATCACCAAGTTGTGTTTCAAAATGGGCTGCTGAAGTTGAATAAGCCACATTGCAAGGTGGCCAAGCTATCCTTATACTGTATTCTTTGTATTTTGTTTTAGGTATTTATTTTAGTTCATTTTGTTTGTTTTGAGACAGGGTCTCTCTCTACATAGGACTGGCTGTCATGGAACTCATTATGTAGACTAGAGCTGGTGTCTAATTCACAGAGATCCTCCTGCCTCTGCCTCCCTCGTGCAAGGCTGAAAGTTGTGTGCCATCATGCCCAGCTCTGTATTGTTCTTACAGACTAAAGCCCAAGCCATGAACTACTGGTACCAGTGGTTCAGGGGGAAAACTTCCATTCCATTCTGTCTCCTCCTTCGGAAAGGATTGTTCGAAGAATCTTGGCCTTGCTGCTCAGAATCCTCTGCCTGCCTTTCTCCTGCTCATTTCTGAAGACGGCTTATTAAAAGTCTACACTTCTGCCCTCCTCTTGTAAATATAGCTCAACAAAAATGTGTACTTAACAGCCGTGTTTCTGTAGTATCCTTAGCCACCTTAAACCCGTGGTTTTACATTTAAGAAGCCAGGAATTGTGCCAAAGATACCAGGGAGGTAAAGAAATGCTCAGTGTTGGCCACCTGCACCTGAAAGCTGCAAGAAAATGACAGTGAATTGTCAAGCAAACATCATCACAGTGACCAAGGACTGAAAACCGGAGTATAAATATCGGTATTCTTTATAGGAAGTAAATCTAAATCTAAATGAAGTTGAATGAATACTTTATTTAGAAATGAATGGTTCTATCCCCCTTATCTGGTGACTCTCATTAGTGACACTGGAGTTGGCAGAGCTGTTCACAAATTCACTGGGGTCATTCCCCTTAACACACTGTGCTGTTAACTCATGAAAAAAGGACATGTTTCATTTCCTTCTCAATAAACATTTCTCATACTCTTTGTCCCCTTATCTTCCTGCCTCCTATCTATTCTGTTATTTTCCAGGGTAGTTATGGGAAGTTGAAATGCGGGCTAGTGTGATTATTGGCTTTTAAACCAGAGAAGGTTAGTTTGAAATTTTTTTGTCACCTTGAGAATGAAAGGTCAGGACTTGAGGAAAACATACTGCTCCTTCATGTTTACCACTGAGGATTACAAGGCTGAAATATGGGCCCATTCTGGACAGTTCAGCTCATATTTTGTGGCTGAAATGAGAATAGATTTTGCTAGAAAATGCTATCATGACAGAAGTTAACATCTCAAATAGTGTGATGACTGGGTTCACTGAAAGGCCAATCCTCCCCCTCTGAGACAGGACCACTGATTACAAGTGGCAGGATTTGAAGTGCCCTTGAATGGGATGGCATGCTTCTTCCTGAATTATCAGCAAGTTCTAAAGAACAGCACTCATTTATGTGATTGACAGATATCAAAGAAACAAGTCTCCTGGGCCCCACTGAGGAAGGGCAGCATAAAAAATGCCAGTTGCTTTCTGGCCACATGAATACAGGACAGAGTCTTGACTGTAATGTGGGGATGGAGAAATTCCCAACAACACAGCAGAGCAGAGGCCCAGGACATGAGCTTAGTCGTCTCCCAAAAGAGTGTCATTACCAATATCAATAGGCGACTTTAATTTTTTGTAAACTCTTTGAGTTATTAAAAATTCACCTCTGTCCTTAAGTCACCATGGGAAACAATGTGACCTGCTGATCAGGAGAGGGGAGCAGAATCAAGGGTAGCTTTGCAGGAGAGTAAGCACCTTCCTCTGTGGCAGGAGGGAAGGGGTCGGGGTCCTGCACAGCCTTGGCAGAGCACTGATGCTATACATCTGCACAGATATTCTGCAATTAGTAATTGCTCAGAAAGAAACCACAAGAGACACATAAATGATGGGTGTTGTAGGATATTTATACACTTGTGAAGATATATTGCTGTGATTGGTTTAATAAAGAGCTGAACAGATAATGGCTAGATAAGAGGTATAGTTGGGACTTCCTGGCAGAGAGAAGAAATAGGAGGAGATGAAGAAACAGGAGGTACAAGATGGAAGAGTGGTAATGCCATGTGATAGAAAGTAGATTAATATAAATGATTTAATTTGAGTTATAAGCTTTCTTAATTAATAAGAAGTCTATGTGTTGTTATTTGGGAGCTGGCTGGCAGGGATAGAAAATAGACTCATTACAGGTGGGCACACAATCCCAGTACTCTCTTGCCTTAGTGATGCTCTCCAGTAATCCAAGATACCTGCCCCCTCAAAAAAAGAAATTAAAAAAAAAAAAAAAAAACTGGCCAAGGCCACCAGCACCACTGATCCTTTGGAGGACCTGGCTCCTGGCCCCTACCACACACCCATCCACTTTGAAACACCATTAAGATAAGTTACCTCTTGATTTCCCACCTCCAAGCTCAACCAGCCACTTCCAACCAAAAGCAAGCTCATCAGAAAGCACCTGACTTTCTCACCCCTAAACCTGAGTGTCCGTGGCATAAAGTCTAAAGTCCTTAAGGCACTTTAGAAGATGCTAGCAGGGGACAATTCCTCCTCCTTACACAGGCCATTGTCCTATGCCTTCTCCCAAATTCCTTTCAGATTTGTCCAGTGTTTCTTACCTCCTGGAACATAAAGAAATAACAATATTTTGTCACATGATCATATATTGCCTTGTTTTATTAAGTTAACATGAGACCTGGCTAAAAAGTAACGAAATTGCGTTCTACAAGCCTTACTTTAATCAATATCATTATTTTATATGAATAAGCACAGCCTTGGAGGTTTCTGTTGTTTTAGATTTGTATTTGGAGAATCTGAACAGCTCATGGGAGACTGGAAGGGGTATTACATGGTCCATCTCAGTTCCTAGCCACCATTATTTCCAACCCCCTGTGGCTGACAGTCACATATCCATCCACTGAGTCTTAGCTTGTAACACTTTCTGAGAACCACACTTAGGACATCTTGTTCTCTAGTAAGGACAGAAGCTTCATTAGGAAACATCCTAATGTGACCTCTCCCACCCCACAGGGTTGAGTTCTCCACTGAGTACAGAGTCGAAACCTAATTCCACATAGTTAGTGAAAAATGGTGGGTCCCCACAAGGCTGTGGAAGGGGGTTGTCGTCAGCACTGGGACCCAGCATGACCCAGTGCACAAAAAGATGCCATCATATGCCTGGGTTGAACTTCCTTTACGCAAAGCCAGATGATCTTACATGAGTCAAGCACTTCCACCAATAGCACCTACCTCTTACATTCTGTCCCTGGAAGTCATCCCACTAAAACAGGTGTGCTATTTATCTCAGTTCAGAACATTGATCTTAAGTGTCAGTTCCTGAAGGAAAAGGAACAGAGAGGCTTATTTTGAAAGGGGGGGGGGGAGAGGAACTTCCTAAAAATGCTATTTACAAACACAACATTTCAAGGACAGGAAATAACAGAAAGCGCCTCTTGTTGACACAAGAGGTGGCTAACCTCATTCTCAAGACCGTCAGGAGTCCCGAGTTACCCTGTCACTCTGAGGTAAATGATGAGTTAGTTGTTTTCAGCCCTCTGGTGCAATTTCTAGGAATCCTAGCCTTGGGGTCAATAAGGCTCATGTGACAACCAACCAAAAAGTAACAGAAAAAAACAAGTCATGTGGTTTGGAAACAAGACAAACCAAAGTTGGAAAACTGTCTCTGGCATTTGGTTTTCTGAGCCTTGATGTCCTTAGAAAGAAAATGGGAGGAAATGATGTTTTCCTTAAATGACTATAAGAGATGGAAATAATGGCTAATACATGAAGAGTTCTGCTATTGTACTGAACACTGATTTAACATGCTTTTTAAATGAGTCATCCGAATTTCAACATCCTGAGGCAGATAGTATCACGGCCTCCATTTCAAACCTAAGGACACTGAAGAACAAGAAGGGTATGGTATTTGTCCAAGGCCCTTGCCTTCAATGGCTCTAAATCCAGGGGCTCAATCTTCACACCTAGGTTAATATGTGCTCATAAAAAGAGATGGATTACAGCACAGGGCAAGAGATGCCAAGCAAAGGGGTTAGTGGGTAAGAGCAGATAAGGGGCATGCAAACTGGAAGAAAGCACCATCATCTTTCTTTGTGGCATTTCTGGTCCTACCCATCCATCTGAATCCCTCGGCAGATAATGAGGTCTCTAAAAAACATGTCTCTCCAAATTACCCCAATATTGTCCTTTTCCTGGCCCTTTCCTGTAGAAGAAAGACAAATTACTCTCAAGTTAGCACCTAAAACCATTTTAGGTCAGATATTATCCTTCATGCTCTCTTTCTTTTTCTTTAATTTAATTTCTATTATAATTCAAAGCCTACAGGATTCAACCAGTCCAGTGAGCAGAGAGAAATGGTGTTGCTGTGGAGAGGCTATTCTTAGAAGGCCCAGGTTCAGCAAGGGATGCTGTCCCAGGAGCTTAAGCAAACCCAAACACTGTGAAATGTACTTGTAAAATATAGTCCTGGATTTGCCAGATCTGCAACTGTGAAAGTCAAGAAAGGAATTATAAACCCAAACATGACATGACAGGTAGGAATTCTGTTTCACTATGTTTAATGTTCTAGTCATTCTTCCATTGTTGTGAAGAGACTCCATGGCCAAGGCAACTCTTACTCAAACAAAACAAAACAAAACAAAACGCATTTCCCTGGGGGACCTGCTTGCAATTTCAAAAGTTTAGTCCATTATCATCATGGTGGGAGCATCAATACACAGGATCTGGAGCAGAGGCTGAGAGCTACAACCTCATTCACAGGCAGAGAGAGAGCTGAGAGAGAGAGAGAGAGAGAGAGAGACTGGGCTTGCCATGGGTCTTTGAAATCTCAAAACCCATTCCCAGTGACACACCCCAACAAGGCCACACCTCTTAATCCTCCTAGCCCTTTCAAATAGCACCATTCCCTGGCGACTAAGCATTCAAATGCATGAGCCTATATGGGGGCCATTCTTATTCAAATCACCACAATGATACAGCTCACCCCATAGCAAGCCAAACCCCCATCACAAAATGATCTGTGCTATCTTAGACTCCAAAAGCAAGACACCTGAACTCCAGTCCTATTCTTTATATGGCTCTTCAAAGCTTAAATAGTTCCTTGGGAAAAAAAAAAAAAATTATCAGATCAGAAAATGCAAAAGAGACATAATGAGGAAAAAAAAAAAGAAGAAGAAGAAGAAGGGGGATGGCTTCATATAGAAATGAGCATTTATACTCATAGTAAATTAAAAAGTCATGCTCACGCCCCACTTGCCCCCACCCCAAAGGGACACCAGAGGAAGAGATGGCTGAGCAGTTAAGAGCACCTGATGCTTTTGCAAAGGATCCAGGTTCGATTCCTAGCACCCATGTTTAGCAGCTCACAACTACCATTAACTCCACCTCCAGGGGGATCTGACACCTGTGTCCTCTGCAGACACCAGCACTCATGTGCGCACAACCACATATAGATACACAACTAGGAAAAATAAGAATGTCTCTGCATATATTTTAACAACTGAAATCAGATGCACACTCATTAGGGCTGGAAGGGGGCTGGAGGCATGCTGTGTCTCTTCCACCCTCATTACTTTTACGTCTTCCTCTCCAGTCCAGTCCGAATGCTTGTGTCTCCTTGGAATCCTAACTTGAAAGGTGATACCATCAGGAAATGGGAGCTTTGGGGGAGGCCAGTGAGTCATAAGGGTAGAGCCCTATGGATGAGGCTGTAAAATAGGCCACAGGAACTCTGATCTACATGTATTAAGAATTGTTGGAAGGGGAGATAGGGAGAGGGAATGGTTTAAACTACAGAAATTAGCCCCTCTTGCAAATTCGTCTTAGAAAGTTAAGCTTATTTAAAATGAGACCTGAACTCTTCAGATAATAAAAAAAAAAAAAAAAAAAAAAAAAGAAGAAGATTAATACTCTTCTTCCTGGGCTTGAAGGGACTTGATGCCATTCAAGCCTAACACACACACACACACACACACACACACACACACACACACACACAAACCCACTCAGATTTATCAAAAAAGAGACAATCAGGTTGCTGATCTTTTCCCAGTTGATTTATCAGTTTATTTTCCCTAAATAACCAACTCCCTGGCTCATGTAAGATGGTTTTGTTGCAATTTTTTATATATTTTTGTAATGAGTCTTTATCTGTCCCACCAGCCAGCTCCCAAATAATGACACAATTATAATATTAATTATGAAAGCTCAGCCTATAGCTTAGACTTGTCCCTAATTAGCTCTTATAACTTAAATTAACCCATTTCTATTAATCTAAGTTTTACCATGTGGTGGTTTACCTTTCATGCTGTATGCCCAATTCCCTCCATGTCTCATTGGCATCTCCCTGAGCCTTGACTATCTCCTTCTACTTCCACTCTGTCAGAAGTCCCGCCTATACCTCCTGCCTAGCTATTGACCATAGAGCTCTTTATTGAACCAATCACAGAAATATATCTTCACAGTATACAAATATCCCACAACATATTTTCACTACAGTTTTTAATAATGCTTTCCAAATGGAAAAACCCCTGACATTTATTATGTTTCCTATTATTATGTTTCCTATTTTTTCATTCTCAAAATAAACGCAAATTCTCCAGGTGACAAGTGTGAATGAGAGCCCCAAACAGAATTTAATCAACAAGTCTTACCTTGGGCACAAAAGACTGAGTATAAAGCTTGATTTAATGGGGGATAAGGTTTGATTTAATGGGGGCTAGGCACCAGTAACTCAACCCAGACAACAGAGAATGCCATTCATTTCTCCAAGGATGTGTTAGTGTCTTGATGACTGAGCCCTTCATCCTTCTTCAATTTCCATTCATGTTCCCTTGTGAAATTTGAAGATCACATCTACATGTGGTATTGAGGAAAAGGTGAATAACAGACACAGCCAAGGAGAAAAAACATAAACTATCAGCCTCTTGATTGCCTGTTGTCTGAGACCCTATCCCTACACCCCTGGTCAGAATACGGCAAAGCATTTGGCTTCTTTATGGAATAGCAGCACAATGACAGTCAGAGCATCTGTTTCCCAGTGTTGTGTGGAATTACTAAAGTCCTTGGGCAAATGTGCCCAAACCTACTGGATATTATTAAATGGGAGGGTTAAACACATACCTATCTGCTGTTTTGTAGAGCAATCATTGAGCGTGAAAGGTGGTCAATTTTGGAATTGGATGATGGGTGGGTCTTCTGAATTTCCCATTCTCACAAAACTCAAGACTACTGTAGACATCTCAGCCTTAAAGTGCACATAATCTCCTAACAAGCAACATCCTGTAGCATTCCCAGCACGGGGTACCATAGGGTTAAAGTGGTATGGAATAGAGCATGGGCTCTGTGTTTTCAGAGCTTCCCAAGTAATCCTAAGGCTCTTTGAGGTCTGTAGGTCTGGGGACTTGCTGACACCTCTGTGATCTGTCCGATGCTGACAGGAACTTCCAGGATGAAGGCGGATCATTATCCGTTACACCAGTCCCCCACAAGCCACCAAATGACAAGTCCCTTGGATGCTGGTGTCCAAATCTAGATAGAAAACGCTGACTGAAGGAGCTTGGGCTCGCTGTCGGATACAGTTGCTTTGCTTTGGGCTGAGGAGGTGACAGATGTCAAGGATCCTCCAGGACATGTGACATTAAAACCCATGGCCACTACTGTCTCAGGAGCTGGGGTTACAGGAGACACCAGGATCAGAAAACAGCACTTTAAACCAGCAATTTAACCTTTCTCTTTTCTTGTCACACTTTCATGTTGTTCTTGAGTTTTACAAAAAGCATGAGCTTACAATTTTCCCTGACTTGAGTTCCTTGATTACCATCTGTTTAGAAGCATGCCAGTGAAAATGGCTCCTGCTCCCTCCCACTGAGGGTTAGCCCTAGATAAAATATGGGAGACTGTAAGCATTCAGTGGGCCACAGCTGGTGTATGTGGTAAACACCCCCTCCCCATCCCAACACACAGAAAATGAGGGCCTGGCCCTGCTCTCATCCAGTGGGACTTCGACCATCAGAGACAACTTTTGGATCCCACTCCCATAGAGTCATGACACTAGACATGGGCATCAGCTCCCTAAAGGCCAGAGCACAGAATATTCATCTCTTCAAGAGAACTTGGATACCTGTGGAGTTTGGAGGGGTCATGGGATTTTCCTGTTGGTTGGTGGGGGAGAGGGGATGTGTTTATTTGTTAGGAAACTTTCTCATTTTAAAGTATACCAGAGATAAACCACCTATACCCCAAATCCCATGAACTGACACATCAGAATAAAGACACACCAAGCCTTATACTCCTCCACCCACCTCCTCCCCATTCCATGTCCAGGACGGACAATGGGACTCCCTATTCTGGGTTCGAAATTTCTTGGCATTTTGGTGACTAAGGATCTTTTTCATTTTTCTGGGAGGCTGAGACCACAAGGGAGGGAGGCAGGACAGGGAGAGCTGAGCAGAGTGAAGGCCACTGTGGGGAACTAGAGGTTGGGGTCTGCCAATGAAGACCTCGGGAAGGCAGAGCAGGGACACACGGTAGAAACCGAGGATGCTCTGCCGTGTGACAAGGAGTCGCCACTCAGGAATGTGTCTTCCCAAACCACAGGGGTGGCACCAGCTCTCTTCTCACACATCCTTGACCCTGCTGTCTACTGGGTCACACCTAAGAAACGTGCACTCACCTAGTCTGTCTTCTTTCAGTTCAACCCAGAGACCCTTCCCTAGCTAAATCCTTTGGGATCGCTGACTTCCTGGGGATCCAGGACTCAAAAAGTAGCATTAATCACAGGAAGAAAGGGCACTTTTGGGAAAGGCCTATGAGCGTCTTCCAAACCTTGTGTGGGAACTCCAGATATGAGAGAAACCCACTGTCTACGACAGAATTGGCAATGGGGGTGGGAGTCTATTTTACTTCCTTCCTAGCCCCCTCATATCAGTGTCCCGAAATCAGCTTTATGAAACCTGACTTTACCCACACAGAAACTCAGTGTAATTTGCCATTTGGTAACTATGTGTGCTATGTTCCGTGTAACAGCCTAATGGACGCGTAGAGACTCTTGGAAGGAGAGATAAAGTGTCCTAGAATCTACCCTTTAATCTACCAAGCAGAACGTTCTAAAGTAAAGGCTACAGAATGGGCAATTATCAAGATGTCCTCCTTCCTTTGTGCTGAAGGCAGAGAGCCCTGCCAACTCCCTCCCACCCCCAGGCCCCAGGCAAGGGTGAAGCATAAATGACCCTCAAGCCAGACTTTCAGGTGCCTGACAGGAAATCTAGCAGGTCATCCAACTCCCCTTCATTGCTTAAAAAGGCCTGCTCCTTTCTGATGGGCAGAAGTCATAACACGATCACTCCTAGGGGGAAATATTCAAAGGCAGCCTGGGTACCTGACTGGGTACCAAAGGGCTGTCATTTAAAGGTACACCTACTCCTCATCATTTTTGGCCATATTCTAGCTTTGGAAAGGCAACAGAATAGAATATGACAATTCAGAGCATGGTCTCCAGGATCTCCTGTGTGCCAATAAGTCCCATCAATCATAGCCGTGGCCCTGCCACTGACTGACTAGCCTTGTCACTTTGAGCAAGGTATCTGGCTCTCTGTACCTCAGTCTCTCTACCCTCAAAAACAGAACTTAGTAGAAACCCTTCTCACAGGGATGTGAGAATTAACCATTAATTCATTTAGTTCATGGGATGAACTTGGCCAGTTCTTGACCCTACGTAGGAAATACATAAGGAAGAGTGGAGTGTTGTCAGTATGATGGCAGAACCCAAGTTCCCCAGCCTCGCTCCCATCCATAGAAATCCAACTGGCAACCATCCACAGGCCAACATGCCATGGTTGAAGAAAACAGTTGTTAATTGGAGCATGGATTAAGGAGGAAAACTAAGAGAACGCCTAAGAAATGATGACCTGTCACCCTACCTACTGTCAAGTACCTTATCACACATGCTAAGGACTACCTTGGGGGGGGGGGGGAGGTGGCGGTCAACAGATGTAAGAACAAAGGATGAGTGTGAGAAGGTGGAGCCTTGCTCAGGATCCCCGCCCAGTGTGATTTGTGATTTCCTTTTTCCACCTAGTAGAAGACTGGTTTTAAACAGTAATAATACATTGTTTCTGCTTTGGAAAAAAAACAAGCAGGGTGTTAAAGGGTTTGTGTTAGAAAATCAGGGAGAGTTAATGGAGAGTCACAGATGCCAGGAGGAATGGAAGGTACTCAAATCATTTGAGTCAGGAAATAGGCCAGGTGGCATGTAGAGGCCCCCCAAGGCAGAACAGAGGTTGTGGTCAAGGAGCTGAAAAACAGCTCAAGTGTCCTCTACATAAAGAGGGAGGGAGGTGTGGGAATGTGAGAACTGGCAGGTCCCTGCTATCATGTTCCACTGAGGGGGGACTGGTTGGGGGTGGGGGGGTGTGTGGAGTTCTCAGAGCTCCTCCCACCTCCTCCACATTCCCTAGGAACTTGGTGACAGCAGGAGACAGGCGGAAACTGTTTTTAGCAAGCCACAATAACGAGCTGTACTTAAGCTGCTTACTTACATGAGATAGTAGTTAAAAATATCTCTGTCCATGCCGTGGGAGTTTCTTCAGGGGGTAGCTTGGTCTTGAACGGATATAATTTATTTCAGAGATAAAATCTTCCTACAACAAAGCACATCCAGCAATGGCATTATCCGGGATGTAATCAAAGGTTGGTAATACTCAGACACATGGCTTTCAGTGTGAAGGGGTCTGTGCATCCCCTATGTATCATACAAATGGGATCGTGTGTGTGTGTGTGTGTGTGTGTGTGTGTGTGTTTGTGTGTGTGTGTGTGTGTGTTTCCTTCCCTCTCTCCATCTTAAGGAGATCTGTTTCCTTTAGGTTAGGAAATAAGACTAAACCAGAGCTCTTCCGTGGGTACCATGACCAGTACCCACTTATAAATGTCACCCTGCCAGCCTGGTATAAGCTAGACTGTATGGCATGATCAGCTCCAGAGACTCGGGCCCTTTTGACACTCCACTAGAATGCCTTTAAATGCAGGTCAAGATCCACAAGCTGCATGTCTGCAGGAACATCGAGTGCTGGGCATATCTTCGGTAGGTCAGAAATCCCCCTAAGCCTACAGAAAACATGAAGCACCCAAACACCTTATTAAATACAGACGCCATTTCCTCCAGATGTGGCTGTACATGGACCCTCACATAAATATGTTCTTCTCTGTGTCAGGACTGCTGTGAACAGAGGGTGAGAGAGCGAGCATGTGTGGTTCATTGGAGCATTCCCAGGGCCTCTGCCTGATGAACTGCTCGCATTAATCTCTTCCAGGTCCCTTCCTCTGAAAGCCTGCTCTGACTCCCGACCACACAGATGTCTGCCCCGTGTCAGACGCAGGACACCATGTTCTCTCCTGGGCCAGTGTCATAGTTTCACATGGTTTCCATGGTTACTCCACTGATGTCTGCTTCCTTCCCTGGACTTTGAATTCCAGCAAGGATCTAGTCTGGACAGAAACGCTAACCTTTGGGTGGGCTCTGTAGGATGTCAGGAGGTTGCATACCCTCTCATGGATCTTCTTCCATGTGGACTGAGAACGAGGCTGGAACCTGTAAATGGAGTGGAGCATTATACAGCTACTAAAAAGGATGCCAACTTAGAGCACTTACATATGGGTTGAAACTTAACCGTAAGCTAAAGTGCCAGTATGCAAAACGGTACAGCTATGATTTTTGATGCTGGCAGTCAACGCCACACGTGAGGATGGTGGAGACACAAACCACCGACATGGTTAAAAATGAGCTGTGCTTGGTGTCTGCCTATGAACCACTCTTCTTTGGACTTTCCTGTTTTCAGGGAAATTGCTAATAAAAAAACCCCTGCTTTTTCAACCCCAAATTATATTTTAAAATCTAAATCTCAATTGTTTTCTGCCACAGAGACTTTATTTTACATCTCATCTAGTTTAGGCCACTCAGAGCCCAAACTTAAGCATAAGTTGGATAACGTCTTCCACATCTTCACACACTAGGCTTTCTCTATTCCACAGACCTCTCTGTGCAGAAAATACTACAGCCTTCCCACCCAAGTCTCTGCTTTCATTAACTCCCAACCACTCTTCTGGGATGAACTCCATTACTCATTTCTCAGGAGTCCTTCCAGGGGCCTCCCCGCCCTGCCCCCGCCCTGCCCCCTCCACACCCCCACCTCACCCTCTAGAGTCCAGCTGACCCTTGTGTTGTTCATTTCACAGCACTTCTGACAGTGGACACTGGCCCTGTTTGGTTAATGTGTCCCCTAGACTGAGACCCAGGCTGAGATTCTGGTTAATATTTCATCCCAGACTTGGGTGTGGTGGCACATACCTGTAATCCTAGCCCCAAGGACACTGGGGTGGAAGGATCATGAGTTTGAGGGTAGCCTGGGCTATACAAAAGAACAAAAGTAAAACTCACCTCAGGTCGCAGTAGGTATTGAATACCACCAGTGGGGCTTAAAGAGACTTGTTAACTGCCCAGGGGTTGAAGGGGGTGGGGGGATGGAGGGGGGCTGGGAGTGGGGAAGGCAGGGTGTAGTTAAGAGCACTTGCTGCTCCTACTGAGGACCTAGGTCCAGTTCCAGCACCCACATCTTTGACCCCACAACCACCTTCATTCACCTCCAGTGCTGGACATCCACTCCTGGTCTCCATGGCAACATGCATGCACATGATGCATGGATATACACTCAGGCCCACAAAAGAAATCTTTCAAAAACAATACTGCTTGAGTAGTGGCTGTGTTCACACTGCAGTGCGTACTGAATCCTAACTTCCGAGGTACCACGAAGCTAAAGGTGCACACAGAAATTTGATGATCTGATGATGTAACGTGCAGATGGTGTTTCCTTAAGATAGTCAAAGAATTTTAGTGAGAAACGCTAAAATAACTCACATATTTGCGATGTTAACAAGGCCAACTGGGTCTACAGAGCTAGTTCTAGGACAGGTTCCAAAACAATACAGAAAGACCCTGTCTCAAAAAAAAAAAAAAAAAAGTGCTATGCAAGCTGCCAAAGGAGGGAAGCAATTACTGGTGCTATCCAGTTGTCACACCTGTGAACCACAACAATGACGGCCAGCATAGCAAGAGATCTACCTCATCTGCCACTATCTGCAGTACTGGCACTCACATGTAACCAACAGCTAAGTGTCTACTCCACAGGAGAGAGATCATGCCTAGTACTAGAACCCTAGCCAGCTACCTGGGGCTAATGCGGTTATAAATCTTAGAAGAGAATCCACTAATGCGGTTATAAATCTTAGAAGAGAATCTACTAGCCTATCGTCTCTTTGCTAGACCAGCATAATTCTTTAACCGCATTCTAAACGTTAACCTTATAACCACAGGTGAGTCTAGCTATCACTCCTCATCGAAGCGGGTTCTCTCTACAGCAAATAAATACCATTGCAGAAAGCCACAACCCGGCTCAGTGAAAAGAGCAATGGGCTGTGGGTAGCCCAGCCCCAGTGGACACATCCGTAGCATAGCACCTATATCTATGTCTCAGGGAACAGTTCTGAAGAGAGTGGAAAATCTGAAAGAGCCAGACTGTGAGGAAGCCTATTGTGTGGCTGCCTCTCTTAGAAATTGTTGTATTAATGGGATCTGAGAAATGGAAAATATCATGTTAACATGAAAGGGGTAAAAATCCCCCAGGGCCCCACCCCTGAACAAAGAACTATAGGCAACTAACAACTGCTGAAAAAGGGAGAAGTCATCTCCCCCAGGGTTGAGCCCCATAGCTGGTTCTTCGATACAAAGTGGCCATCCCTGAAATCGTGTGTCCACATGTATAATAAACAGGGACTCATAGGTTATATCTATATATTCATGTGTGTGTGTGTGTGTGTGTGTGTGTGTAGCAATAAAAGAAGAAGAGGCTGTCAACTTGAAAGTAGGGCAGACACATAAGGGGTTGGAGGGAGGAAAGGGAAAGGAGGAAGTGATGAATTATATTAAAAATGCAAAAGTTAATTAATGTTTTAAGATATTGGGCTGACTACAGAATGGGAGAAAATTTTGCCAACAATACATCAACAGGCGATTAACATCTAGGACACATAAAGAACAGCAAAAAAAAATTAGTAAATGGGCTGGAAAAACTGAATATAGTTCTCAAAGAAATGCAAATGTTTAATATGTATGTAATAACAACATAATTGAAAAAATGTTCAGCATCCTTAGCTATCGGGGAAATGTACATGAAAGTGCTTTGAGAGTCCGCGCTACCATCTCACAATACATATGCTGGCGAGGACGAGGGGGAAGGAGGACTCTCCATTCGCTGAGAGTGAGCGTGTAAACTGATGCTGCCACTGTGGAAATCGGGGCAAAGTAATCGGGGCAAAAGTAAGAGTACAGCTACCATATGATCCAGCTGTCCCACTCCTAGGCATAGAGCTGGAGTTTTCTAAGTCAACATAGCACAAAGATATCTTTACATCTATGTTCGCTGCTGTGGTGTTCACAATAGCTAGGAAATGGAACCAGCCTATATGCCCATCCATAGAAGAATGGGTAAAGAGACTGTGATAACATTCACAATGGGATCTTATTCTGCCATAAAGAAAACAAACGCTGACATCTGAAGGAAGATGAATGGAACTGGAAATCATTATGTCAGGCAAACAAAGCCAAATTCACAAGACAAACGCTATATGTTTTCTCTCATGTAAATCATAAAACCAGAAAGGGAACTATGCTGAATGGTTCTGTGTCAACTTGGCATAAGCTATAGTCATCTGAGAGGAGTGAACTTCAATTAAGAAAATGCCTCCATTGTATCAGGCTGCAGGTGGGCCTGTAAATAATTTTCTTAATTAGTGTTTGGTGGGGGAAAGCCCCGCCCACTGTGGGTGGTGCCATCCCTGAGCTGGTGATCCTGGGTTCTATAAAAAGCAGGATGAGCAAGCTGCGAGGAGCAAGCCAGTAAGCAGCAATCCTCCATGACCTCTGCATCAGCTCCCACCCCCAGGTCCCTGCCCTGCTTGAGTTCCTGTCCCGACTTCCTCCATTGATAAACAGTGATGTAGAAATATAAGTCAAAGAAGCCGTTCCCTCCCCATGGTGTTTCATCACAGCAATGACAACACTAACCAGGACAGAAGTCATATAAGAAGAGACCCCGAGGTGGTAGATGCTGGGAGGAGGGTAATGGAACACATGTGACATGGGAGCAGGAAGGCTGTTGCAGGGTCAGGAAGGAAACCAGCAAGGAGTTAAAGGGGTGAGGGAGGGTGGAAGTCTGACATAAAATGAACAAAACATACATGAAATGTCATAATAAGTCCTCTACTCTCTGTGTCCCCTCATCCCTGCAAGCTGAGCATTGACTGCCTCCAGGGCAAAGCTAACAGAATCTCAAGAGGTGCCCCACTGAGAGGGGCTGATTGGGTTGGCCCTGCTGTGAAAGAGCAGTCAGAGAGGAAAGAAAAGGATGCTATATAGCCATGAAAGGTCCACACAGCTGCCTTAGTGACCAGCTAAACTTGTCAAGGGGGCAAGGACATCTCCATGAAGCATATGAAAGGCACAGCCATCATCATCAACATCATCATCATCGTCACTGTTATTAACTTCCACACGATTCCCACAGTGGCTACATCAGTTTCCATGCCCACCATCAGTGAATGAAGGCCTCCTGCCAGCATACATTGTCATAAGAAAACCGCTTTCTTTTCTTTCATTTTCTTTTTTACAAAACAGCGTTTCTTTGTCCTGGAATTCACTCTGTAGATCAGGCTGGACTCAAACTCAGCAATCTGCTGCTTCTGCCTCCTAAGTGCTAGGGTTAAAGGTGTTCACTACCACTGCCATTCTTTAAAAGATGCCATTTAAGGCCATTCCTTTAGAGGAAAGGTGGCCAAGGACTCAGGGCTTTCCCACAATGTGAGACTTGGGGACCAGAGCCAGGATAGCCAAAGGCCAACTGGATGGCCTTTCTGTGATCACTGTTCTTTGTCATTGTGGATCATGGCCTTATTTACACACTCCATAGTCCAGTTAGGTCCAAATTCACCTGTTTAGAATGACTGGCATTCTGAATTTGCTGCCTCGTCTGAGATGGCTGGATACCCTCTCACCTTCCTTCTGCTCCTTGCCTTGCCTCCACTGACTGAACCTTCTGGAGCTCTCCTGTCTTTTCAGTCTCCACTGCCCTCCACAGTTATCCTCAGATTCTGGAGCCCTGGGATCGGCTAGTTCCCCAAATTCAGCTAACAATGCCCCTGCCTTCTCGCCTCCCATCCCTACCCTCCATTAACTCAGTCATAAACCAGCTTTCTTCGGGGCCCGCACAAAATGTTACCTCCTCTACCAAACTGTAAGAGCCATCTTCCCCATTTAGTCTCTAAAAGCATCCATCAAGTTCTGCTTTGTAGAAAACCGTGTTTCTGTACGTGTGTGTGTGTGTGTGTGTGCATGCATGTGAGAGAGAGAGAGAGAGAGGGAGAGAGAGAGAGGGAGAGAGAGCACATGAGTATGCATGTACATTTCCATTCTATGCTATGTTGCAAGCTATCATATAACAGGAGAAGTGTGTTACATGTTAAGTCTTCATTCTAGGCTTGGTAAACAGATCATCAATCTTAACACTCTCTCACACATTCAACTCCAATCCCAACTGATTCTGTTTGATTCCATCAACATGAGACAATTCTTCTATCAGCCAACACTAAGGATCAACTGGCCAGTTACATGAAGACATGCATCCAAGGGGCGCTGAATGAATACATAAATGCATATGCCATCTGACATATTCAGAAGCAGCAGGTCCCTCCCTCTGCCTCCTGTGGGAGTTAGCTTCTATCTGCTGTCTGCCCCTGCATTTGGACTACTGTTGAAGGCATCCCATGATCTATATCATGTTAAGCAGGATGGTGTAGCATGCACAATAAAAACCCAGGGACATATATTGGGATTCAAGCTGAAGATTACAAAAGCAAAGCAGCCAAGCCACTACCAAGGCTGGAGAGACACTGACCTCAACATGGCTAGAGACTAATTGCCCAGTGAGTACAGCATATACCTGTCTAGCATTGGGATTAAAGGTGTTGGCTCTGTTTCTCTTTTAAACTGATTCACTCTCATGTAGCCCTGGGTTGCCTTGAACTCACAGAGATCCATCTGCATATGTGTACTGAGTCCTGGAACTAAAGGTGTGCACCACCACTGCCCAGCTTCTATGGCTGCGGCTAGCTTTGTATTTTGATCATCAGTAGTTTTATTAGATCATAAACAACATATCACCATAGGATGGGGAAAGTAGAGATGTGCCATGGTCAGGGACATTACAAATAGCTATCTGCGAATTTTTTATGTACTTTAGTGTCAGGAAAACCTGCTGTACTAATTCTAGAAGCTAGGAAAGTATCTCTAAACAAAGCACACAAAAGCCCTGGGCCACCACAGTTCCTGCAGCAGAAAAGCACTGTGGCTAAAAGCCAAAGGACCTTTGATCATCGAAGTCATCTTCATGATGGAACAGGAATGCTGCTGAGATCACATATCACTTAGACAAGTGTCACTGGGTCACCAGTTCCCATGCTCTAGGTCTCTGAGTACTGAATAACGTTCTCGCCAACCTGGGAGAAGCACAATCCAGAAAGAAAGAAGACAGGGCCCACGGCAGGAATAACTATGACCCTGAACATCCGACCCTGGCGATTCTGGTGTTTTTAAATGTTATACCATTTTCCAATACAATGAATTGTCAAGAATTGGCATTACATTGTTATCTTATTAATATATGTTATGTAATTTCTCCAGCTAGTGTAACATTTTAATACAGTTGTTCTATTATTTCTGAAAAACACTTAAAGATGGATTGCTACCTTCTTATACTACCTTAGACTCAAGGATAATTCCTGTTAAATCTCCAGGGCCATTTAGGTTCTGCAACTGTTTAAAGAGGGTCCCTCTGTATGCAGCAATTGTGTTTTTTGGGGAATGAGATATCTAACTTGCATCACATCACTAACAATGTAGAGAAAAGCCAACTGGCATGACTTTCTTTCAAAGCTGCTGTCTGATTTTTCCCCCCAGTGGCCCTTCCATTGAGTATAGGTAACCAAACTCTTCTGCTGATTTGTCTGAGTGTCAGGGTTCCCTAAAACACAGGGCTTTGGAGAACCAAATGGCTATTCATTCTCCACCTGTTCTATTATGTGTGGTGATGGTTTGGTTTGGTTTTTCTTTTTGGCAGTACTGGAGATTGAACCTAGAGCCTCATGTGTGCTAGACAGGTGCTGTGCCATTGAGTTCCATTGCTAAACCTACACCAAGTATCCTCAAACACTTTCCCCAGGGGAGAGAAGCTGATGGTACATTTTGCGCCAGTTTAAAAAGGGATAGTCACATTCACCAACTGACTATTCCAGCAAAACAAACTGTCAAGGCGTGCAGGCTTTCTTCCTGACAGTGCACAAGACTCATTGGCCAAGAAGATGGGTACTAGCTGCTGACCTTTCTTGAAGAGGCTGATCCAGAGGGCTGGGAGATCTGGAATGCTGGGAGTGGGGGGGTGAAGTTTCCGGGTGGAAATTGGCATCCCCTTCATGACTTGGCGATGGTTTTCCAGACTTCGTTGAATCTAAAGGTGACGATGGCTGACTTCCCAAAAGAATACGTTCATCTGGCTCTCTGGTAACCTGAGTGACAACATGCATTATTCTTCACGTGTAGTTTTGGTTTTGATTTGCCTAATATAGAGTTAGGAGCAGGTTAGGACAAGGAAGATAAATTGAGGTAAGATAACAGGATGTGTGGCCAGGGATCCCCCACAGATAAAAGAGGGGACCATGGTACTGAAGCCTCAGGAATATGGACGGGAGGGACACAGCCAAAAGGCTCTGTGTTTGACAACATTAATAAGCCAAAATAAACTCACACTCAGAACTTCAATTTCTGAGGACACTGACTTTTTGGTTCCAGGAAAGATCAAATGTTTAAATACAGTGTGACTATCCTGTACATATGCAATACAGTATATACTTAATTTCCTTCACATACAGCTCTCAGTTTGTAGCATATAAGCTGGAGCTTTCAGTTGGCAAACTGATCAAGCTTGAGGACATGATTACCACCTCAGTGTGTAAAAGGTGTCTGATTAAAGATAGGCAACATAGGTTACTGGTGATAATGTAATAATCAGCCTATATAAACCTTCCTTGATAACTGACCACACAAATGAAAGAAGGGAAATAGCCCGACGAACCCCACAGTGAAGCACAAAGTGGAGTTGAGCACCACACTGCATAAACCCTAGCTGAGCCCTAAAATGAGCAACACAGCTAGGAGCATATTCTCCCACTAACTTCACAGGGCTTGACATACATGCTGGAAATAAATCATTTTACAGACATTACTGCTAAAGTTACCTTGATGTTTGCTGCAAGGTTGTCAAGAGAAGATGCTAGAAGAAAGAGAAACATGAGTGTGTTAGCCATAAAATTGCCAATACATTTATCCCGTAGAAGAACCAAGAATTTAGACAATACATGAATGACAAAGAAACTAAATGCTCCCTTGCGAAATCCAAAATCACAACTGAGTCCCTCTTAGGGCACTGAAATTCAAGGAACTTTCTGTCTTCCTGGGGTCCATAGTCAGGTTATATTTTCAGTTACAGCACAGTTAGAAAGGGCGTAGGAGGAGAAGTTCAAGACCCTTACCGCCTTAAAGAGAGGAAACATATTTGCCCAGATGCCCAGAGCTTTGAAGAAGACAACATGAATGTAATATACAGTTTCCATGCCCTGCCAAATGAGTCCTTAGCTCAAGCATACTTGTTCGAGGTAAACATGAAGGTGACGTCGAGCCAATGGATACATAGAGAAACACAATGAATGCAACCGACCCATAAATCATTATCGTTACCCTAAATGTCTACGAGCGGTAAGTAGCTCTCATACTAGCGAGTGGCAAGGGTAAGACGAGAAAGCAAAACAATAGCCACCCATGTACAGGGCCCTAACTCCAAAACAAAGCAAGATATTGCAGAACTAACAACAAATTCAGTTCCAAAATTAATAAATACACATGGAGAAAACTGAAACACAAGTGGATTTTTTCCCCAGGTTTAATGACAAAACATTCTCTGGACTCCTGGTCCCCTTACGCCACCAGTTGCAATAAGGAAGAAAGGAGAGATTTTTTTTTAAAGCCCGACACCTTCCCGATCTGGGCACACTCATCTGTGCGTGTGCACATGGTCCTGGAACACCCCCCAACCCCCCCCCGCAGCCCAGTAAACTGGACAAGGAATCATCAGTGCTAAGTTCCTGGCAGCTATAGCTACAAAACCATCCAGAAACCTAGGAACTCTTGGGCACTCCCCTTCGGTGAGGTTAGAACTGCATTAATGTCTGTTCTGATTTGACCCCTTGTTTCTCAAGGGGCAATCCAAGGATCACCTGGTAGCTTGTGAGAAAAGGACCCAGGTCCCACCCCAGGGCTTTATCAAGATATCCAGCTCAACAAGAACCCCAGCTGTCTCAGAGGCACACAGAATCTTAGAGGCATGGCTTTATTCTCCCTTAGATTTGGAAGTGGCCTGAAAGCCCCAGGGATTCCAGCATTTAAATCCAGAGAGATCTGAACATCTGGGGGCTGCAGCTCTGCGAACAGCTTGGTGTAATACTTGTCCTCACACTGCCTGGATCAAGAAATGGCAAGCACTGTGTATGAGCAGTGTAAGAGGCAAGCCAGCATCAAGTTCCACTGTCTTTCCCCGGGAAAGGGCATTTGTTGTTGCTTGTTTTCACTATGACAGGGATGCTGGTGCTGCTTTTACGGGCTGCACCAGTGATTTTCAATTGTTTCAATTGCGGTGCTTAAATGAAATGGTCAGAGGTAATGAAGCACCTTCTCCTCCCAACCTCATACATCTGTCTGGGTCAGCTATTACCTGTTGCCCTGTCTGGCCAGAGTTACCACAAAACACTCTCTGGTCCTTTAAAAGTACAAACCGTTAAGCAGAACACAGGGAACTCCACCGTGAGGACATCACAAGCCTAGGCCCACCCAGGGGGAACAAAAGGGGCCATCAGCAGCCCAGTCTAGACTCAGAGCTCAGGCAAGCTGCTCTGACCTTCACTAGAGACAGACTCACATTTCAGTCCTGAGGTAAAAGCCTCCCAGGGGTGCCTTAACCCACACACTGTCAATTAGTAATGTACAGTCCAGGAACCTCAATGGGGGGTGGAGGGGGGGAGGTCCCTTCAGGGCCCTTCGTGGAACCTAATCAAAACCTGCATTCATAATTACACTAAGACACGATTTATTCCTCCCAGTCTCATTTCCCCACGGTGTAACAACGCCATCGAAACACTCCATAACATTATGATTCTAACGGCTAGCGACTTTTCTGCTGGCATATTACATTTTACAATTACTCAGTTTTAATTTCTAGCATGCCAAATGGTGGCAGCCATCATTCATGTCAATGAAAGCTCTCTAAAGTTCTCAATATTATTTGCAAATGGATCCTGAAATCCATAGCTCTGAAGACAGCTACTTTAGGCTAACTGCTTCAGAGATCTGGCTCCCTCCTAGCTAACATGGAATCTGGGCAGCAAGTGCCATGATTGCTATCAGTCTCTTGCCCCTTTGCCCTCAGAAAAAAATGGCAAAACAAAACAACATATTTGCTAACTGTCAGCGATGTAAGGAGTTCACACCAGGAGAAGCAGCACCAGCTTTGCCAGCCTAGCCATGGGCTGTGGCCACATGTGGTTAGTCACACCATCCAGCTCAGTCCCCTTCAAGTACTGAGGGCAACTTGAAGATAAACAGCTTCTTAGTTGCCTCTGCCCCATGGGAATGCCTTGGCTGGAGAGACCTTGAGAATGGGGTCCACAGTTGGCAAGGTAACCTGTCGATCCTCGGAGTGAAAGCTGCTAAGGGGGATGCACTCATGCTCATTTAGGGAATCTTAGTAACAAGAAACTCAAGTACCTCTTCTCACTGGAAAAGCAAAGTCTAAAGCCTTAGATTTTCTCCTGGACTTCTGTAAACGATGTTCCAAATTGTTTTCACCAAAGGGGTTCTCACTGTCCACCTGAAAGTGAAGAAGACATGTAGAGCTAGGTTTGCTTTCTCATTACCCATAATGCCCCACTCCAATTCTGAGAGAAGCTGGAAAATAACCTAAATCACAGACTCCAACTATAGTATGTTATACCCCACAGAAGAAAACATCCATCTCCACCAGGGCTGGATAGGAGGATGTGTGTTAAATGTGAGCATAGAGAACTGAAGATAGATTTAAAAAAAAAAAAAAACAGCACAAAGCTTCTGCCTCCTGAGTGCTGGGATTAAATGTGTGAGTTACCACACCTGGCTTGGAATCCTTTGGACAGGACAGAGGATTCCAAGAACAAGAGACTGACCATTCAGGTTCCCTTCCATTCTACCATCTAGATTCTTTTTGAACACAATAGAGCCCAGCAGTGGTGGTGCACGAACTCTGGAGGCAGAGGCAGGCAGACTGAGGTTCAAGGCCAACCTGGTTGACAGCAACTTCTAGGACAGCCAGGGCTACACAGAGAAACCGTGTCTCCAAAAACAAAAATCAAACAAACTAATGAAACCCACAATAGCAATAACTACTCTCTTACTTAAAGTGACAGTCATATAATTCAGAACCATAAAATATATGACCTCAGTTCAGCAAACAGCTTATAAGGACAGCAGAGAGGAATTGTGTGAGCATTGCAGTTGAGTTTAAGTATCACACACACTGGAAATTTGGGATCTGATGAGTAAATATATGTGTGTAATCCCCCCAATGTAGATTCAACTAATAAACAGTTTTTAATAAAAAAAAGTGACAGGCCATGTTTCCTAAGACAAAATTGTTCAACAAGATCTGCAGAAGCAAGTCAAGGGACTTGAAAAGGATTCTTCTACAGAATAAACTTTGAAATAGATTTTGGATTTTTTTCCTCAGTAAAGCAGGCTACAACGGTAGTTTCCATTGTATAACAAAAATTACTGATTACATCTTCCAATTTAAAACTTTTTAATGTGTATGAGTGTTTTGTTTGCATGCATGTCCATGTACTACATGTATACTGATGTCCACAGAGGCCAGAAGATGACATCAGATCCCCTGGAACTGGAGTTACAAACAGTTACAAACTGCTGTGTGAATACTGGGAATTGAACCTGAGTCCTCTGGAAGAGCAGGCAGTGTTTTTAACTGCTGAGCCGCCTTCCAGGTACAAGTACTCTAAATTTTAATGCTTTTATTAAGAATGTCTCCTGTAGGATCAGAAAATCTGGCTAATTATTCATGTAAGATTACCTATAAAAGGGCTTAGCATATAGTAAAAACTGTAATGGTTTGTTAAATAATAAGTTTCCACGTCCTAAGAAATCTAACCACTTTTTAAAATGATTAATTACTCCACAGTGTCAGGGACTGCATTTCATAAGCATATGTATGGAATAGAATAAATCACACTGTCCAAAAAAGACAAGCTATCAACACTTCTATGTTTAATGACAGGTTGCTACATGTTTGCTAGGCATCTTTACCAAGAACAACAAAAAGAAAACACCTATTTAGTATTTCTGTGTTTATGAACAGGTCTTATTTGTGGATGAGTTAGTCGGAATTTTCCAGCTGGAAAGCTCAATTCTACTTAGAAGTAAACTACACACAACCATCTCAATGGTGCCTTGATTGAGAATTGCCCCACTTCACAGCCTGTATCAAATGTGCAATCATAATTTCTAGTGACCCTAAGTGCAAATATCAGCAATTTATCTATTGCTAGCAGTCTGAAGATAGTCACTAACTGGAATGTGTGGTAGAGTTCACAAACAGTATAAAGTAACAGAAAATGTTAGTTTGCATTTATCTGTATACATAGCTTCATAAAACATAAAGGTTATAAATACAAAAACTGAGGAAATTAATCAAATTAATGATTTGTGGCTGGTGTGTGTGTGTGTGTGTGTGTGGGTGGGTGTGTGTGTGTGTGTATAAAACTCAGTAGCTCAACTTTTCCTGGAACACACTATGTAACCCAGGTTACATACTCATGTATGTAATCCTCCTGCCTTAGCCTCCCAAGTGCTGGGATTGCAAGGGCATATCACCACACCTGACTTTAGATATTTTTTCCATTACACTGATGAGACAATGTGTAAACCTACCTTGAATGTCTCTATTTTATAATACTGTAATTAAAAACAAAATTTCAAGACGGTTAGGAGCACTATAATAACTAACTGAGCCCACTGCCTGTGGTGACTAAGACTCAGATGACTCTCTTTTTCCCCACAGACATCCTGTCCCTGCTCAGCATTTGGCTACCAAGCACCAGTCTCATGGAGAAAGGGAAATCTGCTTCTTAAAAAGGGATGGGGCTTCACTTTGAATTGATGCACCTTATCAACCAGCCTTTGATTGACGTCTTCAATTCCAGGCAGTTTCACAGACTCCTCTGAGTAATGGTGAGTTATCATCTACAGACATCATACTCTATTAATAACGTTCAGAAATTAGAAATGGGATGATTGACATTCGCTGAGCAAACTCCCCCTGTGATGCCTTTGTAGACATTTCCTAACAATGGCACTGGCAAATGAACATCATTTAATGACAGTTATTATTCCTTTGAATTCCCTCGTGAGTTACTGTTGCCCACTTGGCGCAGCCCAACACTTCTTTCTCCCATTGCTATCCACATCCTCACCGCAGCCAGTAACCCTGAGAAAACACGTGAAGCTCACATGTCTAACCACAAACGGAGGCTTTCTTTCTCCAGGGAGCCTGAAGCTTTTGCCAAGGTTCAGCGGAGTCGGCTGGTGCAGGAAGAGATGTCTGGGGGAAGATGGGGTGGGTACCCGGGACTGGGTGCCTTTGGAAAGTCGGTCGGAACTTTTCTCCTTCGGCTTTGTTTTTCTGTTATTTGTGGGAGCTCTTTGCCCATGTGATTTCGATAAAGGCCTTTGTGATTTACATTTGTCTTCCTGAAAGCAAAAAACAAACAAAGATTTGCTGTACTCTTTCTTTTTGTTAGGCCTTGACCATGCTTGGAAGACATTCTGCCCATGGGTTATAACTCCAGCCAAAAATGTTCTTTTGATTGGAAAAAAAAATGATAATTCAGTCAATTAATTCAGTATTTAATTGACCATTTATAAACTAAGATAGAAGACTGCTTCAGATTTATAAGACAAACCTTCAAAGAAAGGCATTTGTTTCTTAATCTACCATTTAGCTTAGCCTATTTTAAGTAGTAATCACAAGGTGATTTGTATTCAGGGAAAGCTTGAAAATGGCAAATATACACAGATGTATTCCAAGCACAGTGGATTATGACACCGAGATACATGAACGGCATAAATAGGTCTAACCATTTCACTTCAAAAAATTTATTGAAACCAGTAGTCAAGTACTGATAAGTGTACAGCAACGGGGCCTTTCTAATAGTCTAGGAAAGGTGCTGTTTTTCAGAGACAGGGTCTCACCAGGTAGCCTAGCTTGCCCTTCAACAGTAGCAAGCTGCCACCTCAGCAACCCAGGGCTGAGATTCCAGATGTGTCACTATGACCAGCTGTTTTGGCGAGTAAACAACCATCTTAGCTGAAATCCCACCTCAGCTCTATGACACTAGTAAATAGACTTTCGGCTCCCTTTTTTTTTTTTTTTTTTTTTTGTTCTGATTGGTGAGTCTGTGATGGGGAGGGGGGGCTAGGGCGGGGGTGGGGCTAGGGCGGGGGGTGGGGCTAATGGTATCTCCTGCTGTTTGACACCATCGCTTAACCATCGTTCATTTGAACACCACCACTCCTAAGACACAGCAAACAGACTGTAATGGGGCAGGCTGAGCAAACGGTTTGAATACAGAAATCAAATCTAGCAAAAACTGACCAGTTTCTGTATGTTGTTTCATTTAAACTCAGCAAACTGAGTTCAGGCTAAGAGTCTTTAAATTGGGGGTGGGGGCGCTTGTCATTTCTGTCATTGCCCTTTTAATTATACTTACAAAAAATCTGTTTCTATGCGGGAACATACATTCTCGGATGGCTGTCCTTGTAGAAAACTCTAGTTTGGGAGCAATGCCCTAAAAAATAAGGCAGCATAAAGAGAAGCAAATAAAATTACTGGAAACAATTCTCTTGCCCATCTTGTCTTTGCTGGAAACCCACTAAGAACATCTATAGTCAGCATAATCAGAATACTTTTTTAAATCAGAGGAGCTGATTTTACTATACTAAGCTGAGGTCTATATCAACTTGGAATATACACTCATACTCCTAACACAATCTGTGAATTGGGTCCTAATTAAATTTTCATTGGGACATGAATGAGCTTAGACAACTTAGGTAGCCTATCAGGTTGGCAGGAACAGAGCTGGTGGTAATTGGACCTAGGCATCTGGGTTCCAGTGTCCATGCTGTTACCTACTCTGTTAGCTCCTCTGTCTAAAATACAGGAACGTGAAAATGAGATTAGTAAGGAGGGGCAGGTAGAGGGTCTCCTTCCCTACCTGCTTGCCTTGGAAAACATGGCTTTATCTTACATCAGACATTTATATTCATCAGGCCTATTCTCAAACTGTTTTATTAACAGCTATATATCTATCTTGGTGTGGGATTTTACCACCTAAATGACTGTTGAGGTCTAAAGTGAAACAAAACCTCAATGTACGGGAATACAAAGAAAAACCCTACTATAGTGGAGAAAATCAATCTAATTGTTAATGAACTGAGAAGTCACAGTAAGCAGGTGAGTGGTTTGCCTGACCTATTTGGGTCATTCATCTCCTTTTCAACAGTTGTAATAAAAACCAAGAGGAGAGAACAGAATAAATCCAAGAGAATTAGTATCATGTTTGTGGCTAAGACTATAACCCCCAGAGCACAAGAGTTCCCGTTCTGCAAGTCCAGATTTCTGATGCACAGCAGCTCCCTTCCACACAATGGGAAAAGAAATAGCTGTCCCTCCCCAGGATGGTGGAATAAGACAACCCATGTTGTGGGCTCGGCACACACCACACACACCAACTGCCACAGAAGCTCTGGCAAGTGGTTCAGTTTTGAACCCCTCTATCATTTTATCTATCTACCAAATTGTTCATAGAGTTTGATAAACTCAATTACAAGAATTGATACCAATGTGTGAAGGTATTTCAATGCATTTTAAAGATTTTTCCTGACAACTTCATATCCGTTAGTCTTTCTATTCATGCCCAGCATATTCAACACATGAATGACACTTGAGGAAAAAAATACATGTTTCTCCTTGTTTTGATTATGAAGATGGCTTTTATTTAACAAGGAATTTGAGGAAAACATAGTCAATATGAGAGTTCCCTCAGGCTGGTTCGTTCCCATTAACTTTTATTCCCTTTTAGATTCTGAAGGGCAACATGCCAAGAATTGAAGTAAACAGTAAGTATCTCATAGGTACCATGGACTTGAGTGATACATGAAGGTGATGTTAGAGAAAGAAGAAAGTGGTCTTAGGAATATTTGCCAGATCCTGAAAGATAACAGGGAGGCTTAAAGTTATAGGCATTTGGTTCTGATTAGGGCAACTTTTGACTAATGTTGATGTTTGGTGTACATATCCGTCATCAGAAGCATTGATGGAACAATTGCACCCTCTGCAGAGTACTCTCAGCAGGGTGGGGATGGATACACTTCGCTATGTGACAAAAGAGCAATTCACAGTGTAGAAACAGAAAGCCTACATGTTAGTTATGCTTTTTATAATTCACAAACATGTGGCCCATAAAGAGGAGGTCATCCAAAAGACATAAAAATCCTATTTTAAAAAGTGATTGTTTCAAAGGCAGAAATCATAGACCATAATTTCAAAATGAATGTCTTGAGTCTGTGCTGTGGAATAATCCTTCTGTATAGTGTCAAAGTGTATCGCTCTCATTGCTGATAAAAAGCTGATTGGCCCATAGTTGGGCAGGAAGAGATTGAGTGAGAAAGCTTTGCTAGGAGAATTCTGGGAAGAAGGAGGAGGGAGTCTGGAGTCACCAGCAAACGAAGGGAGAAGCAGGATGGGCATGCTTTACCAAGCCCCATGGCAAAGCATAGATAAAATGGATTAGCTGAAAATATAAGAGTTAGCTAGTAATAAGCTGAGCTATTGGCTGAGCATTTATAATTAATATAAGTCTCAATGTGTTAGCTGCAAGACAGGAAAACTCGGTCAACAAATTTGGGTTCAGATAAATGCCTCCAAACAGGTTACCAGCTGCTTATCAGCTGCACCATGCATGGCTCCTCAACAACGTTGACCTCTATCTGTTCACCTCTCCTAAAGTGGAACTGATCAGCAATATCAGCCTTGGCTGATTTGTAAATTGTTAAGATGGTAATAACTAAAAATGCAGAAGGTTGAAAGTATAAAACAAATGTGAGATAATAGTATTTCTGTCATTGCTCTAGTGAAAACAGGTATGACCAAGCAGATCTTTCTGTCAAACTGCAATAAGAAGTTGAAAGAGGAACCTTTTAGGACATCATGTGACGAGTGAATATGGCAATGATACATTTTAGTTAAATAATAAAACTTTCGACTTTTATAGCAATAGTATAGTTTGGTATCATGAGCTGGGCATCTGACCATAGATGAAAACAGAACTGAGGTAACTAAGCAAGACAAAGCTAACTGCCTAGGATCAACCCTGTCAGGAATAAAATGTTCAAGCCCCCAAAATTTCTCTCCCGTAGAAGCCCTAGTGGGGAGGGTCACTCACTGGGAAACCTATTGCTGTCTTCATGAGCAACTCTCTATACATGCCAAAATGTGAAGATGTCAGTTTAGGCTCGGGGAATAGAAAATCGCGTGTGTTTTCTTCGTAGTAGGCCAGCTCTTCCCATGCTAGAATGAAAAGAGAAAAAGTGTAAGTAAATGTACTTTACACCCCTCAAGTTTCACAAAATAGATGCTCAGAAGGTGTGCTGGTTAGCTTTATGTCAACCTGACATAATCTATAGTCATCTGAGAGGAGGGAACATCTACTGAGAAAATGCCTCCTTGACTGTGCTATAGGCAAGCCTGTAGTGCATTTTAAATTGGTGATTGATATGGGAGAGCCCAGCCCATTGTGGGTGGCATCACTCCTGGGCTGGTGGTCCTGGGTTCTACAACAAAGCTTTATCAAGAAAGCCAATAAGAGCATTCCTTCATAGCCTCTGTATCAGCTCCTGCCTCCAGGTTCATGTCCTGACTTGCTTTTATGATGAGCAATGATGTGGAAATGTAAGTCAAATAAAGTCTTCTGCAAGTTTCATCACAGTTGTGTCAGGGAGGACATTTGGGTCAAACTAGACATTTTGAACCTAGCATTTGTTATTCAAAAATAAGTTAATTTCTATTACTTTTTACCTTGTGGATAATTTACCTCATGGATAATCTTCTTGCTACACCAAATTAAATAAAATAAATCTATCCATCTGTCCGTCCATCCATCCACCCATCCATCCTTTTCTTCACCAAATATTTACCAAAGATAAATTTTGAGCCAGGCAGGAATGAGGCAGACACAGTCCTGCTCACCCAAAGCTTATAGTTTGAGAGGGTTCTGCATGGTTGGGTACGCGGGTGCCAATGGCCCAGAGAGAAAGCAGACTTGAGGTTCTTGGCAAGGATGGTATCAACCCAGGGATGATTCAGACATTTATCAAGATCATTTATGAGAAAGAGCCAGCAATGCTACAATGTCCTGTGGAGCTCATTGATGGGAGATGTCATTCTGATATGTTTCTCTTATTAGTTAATGAATAAAGCACTGTTGGCCAATAAGAAAGCAAGACAGGCGGGACTAGGAGACTAGGAGGAGAGAGGAAGTAGTAGAGGAAAGATCCAAGATGGAGGACGGAAAGAGAACACCAGCAGGAAGCAATTTGGAAAGAATAATGCCCAAATTCCCAAATATTGTTTGTAAATGTTTCTTTTAATTTAAATGTGCTTTGTTATAAATGGTTAATGATCACAACCAATCCTTTTAAAGGTTAAAAAAAGGAGATTATGGTATAGATATGAATACTTTGTTTTGGAATGGATTTTCATTTATTGATACAATTTAAGGTCGATTTTGTGGTATGTATATTTCTCCTCTTGTTTAGGTATTGTGTTTATATAGCTCATTTAAAAATATAATGTATAATTTAGTACAGATTATAGATAGTTACCTATGATAGTCAAAACTTAGAGCTAAGTTAGTTAGGTTTTCAAGATGTATTTGAGATGGATAGGCATTCTTCAAACCTTTCAAAGACCTACAGAATATGGCATTTAAAATGGCTTAGGGTTTTTCTTGACAGTGAGACATAACTGCTCCTGGCAACACTACCTTCATCAGAAAGGAAGATGGACCTTAAAGAAGCGTGTTATGGAGTTTGCCTCCAATATGGCAAGACTAGCCATTTGGGCAAGATACTGCTCTTCTCTGGACTGTTTGACTTCATGTTGTATAAACTGGACATGCAGGACCCCAAGAAAGTGACTGCTGATACAAGATGGACATTGCTACAGGGTTCCTGCTTCATGAAGAGTCTGCGAGACAGTCTGCAGGACACGGAGAAAAGTGACTGACAAACTGCCAATACAGGTGGACAGTTTAAAGTTTCCTGCTTTGCTGAGGAGTCTGCCACACACTATGGCCTATAGGCTGAAGATGGAACATAACAGAAGAACTTCAGGTGACTGATCAGGCAAGATATCTCTGTCATTTCTAGAGTTTATATATTATCCTTCTGTGGTCTTTGATGAAGTTGAAGACAGATAGTTATGGTTATAGCTTTCCTCAGTTATGATTAAAGATAGATAAGTTACATAGACTTTAGACTCACAAAGATAGAATAGATGATGAAATATTTTATTCAAATCTTACTAAATGTTAATGGACTAAGTGTTGACTGTGGTTCTTATTTGATAACTGTTTTATTATATATCTTGCTATGTTAAGGTTAAAATTGTTCTTCTTATGTTAGACAGAAAAGAGGAGATAATGGGAGATGTCATTCTGTAAATATGTTTCTCTTATTGGTTAATGAATAAAGCACTTAATAGGAAAGAAAAATAGGCAGGATGAGGAGACTAGGAAGAGAGAGGAAGTAGGTAGTGGGGAGATCGAAGATGGAGAGACTGGAGAAAGCAGAACACTAGCCCCTCTCTCCGGTAAGAAAAGACCATGTGGAAGTACTTAGATTAATAGAAATGGGTTAATAATTAAGACAGAGCTGGCCTATAAGAAACTAGTAACTGGCCAACAGCATTATACCTAATATAATGTCTCTGTGTATTATTTGGGGCTGGCATGGAGGTGGGCCCAGACCAGCAGGGAAAAACCTACTCATAACAGCTCATGACACCTCTGCATATTTTCTCTACCACACATGACTTTCTAATTTCCTACAAGACATTTATTTAGGTTAAAAATAGTCTAATGATCATCTGAGCCTGGAACCCAAAGCTATACTACAAAGAACTTTTTGTATGAATTTATAATACACTGACTTGTCTAAAAGTGTGGGTATTGCACAAATAAAAGAAAATATTTGCTTTTTTTCTTGTTTGGGTTTCTACTGAGGCCTATTTGACATTTTGAAAATCACATCACATCTAAATATATCATTATTCCCAGTATTTATATTCTAAAATGAATCCTGTTTCATTATAAATCACTTTCTTTTTTTCTCCCTTATACTGAAGCTGGAATATTAACTATAAATCATATTTCATTGTGATAAGGGTATATTAATGAAGATAGTCATTACCAAAAATGATCTTGGGTGTAACAGGACAGGCATCCATTGAGCTAGTGGACAAGGAAGCTGCCATTTGAGCCATCCTTGTAAGCACAGCAGCTACTGCATGGCCAGCTTCGACTGATAGTGTTTCCTACTCAGAGTACCAGCAAAAGTGACACCATAGCTAATAAAACACCTCTTTTGTTTGGTGGCTGTTTTTTTTCTTGTGGGGAGAGTTTTGATGAGGGCAATTTTTAGGTATAGTAGCTATAGAAGGCAATAATCATCAAATGATAGCATCAAATGATATCATGAATTAATTTCTTCACACTTATTCCATTCAATATGGGCCTTTGGGCGTCTAATGAAGTAAGGATGAATGTATAAAATATGGTACTCCTTATTTTTACTCCTGTGTCATTTCTGTCCACCCCTGCCTTAGCAGACAACTTCAGCCACAGAGGACAGATGGTGATACATCTTCCCTTCTCTACAAAGCACTTCTACAGCTTGAGCTGGGCTCTTCACTTGGTCAAGATCCTGTCCTTTCAAGTTTCACTATAAATCAACTTTAAATCTCCCATTAGGGTTCTTTGTATATCAGAATAAAACTCATGTACCACCCAGCATGGTGGTGAACAGCTTTAATCCCAGCACCCCAGAGGCAGAGATAGGCAGATCTCTGTGAGTTGAAGACAGCCTAATCTACAGAGCAAATTCCATGACTACCCGAGCTACCCCAAGACCTGCTCTCAAAAAAACACAAAACACTGGGAAGGTACAAGTCATTGCCTTCACTGACCTTCGGGGTTTATGTAAATCCGGCCTCTAGTCACCGCTGCTACTTCCTTAATGGCATTTCCCTCTTAGTTACTTCCTTTCATCCCTGATGCCATTCTTGCCACATCACAGACATCTATCAAAGTCATCTCCAGAGTTTTGGTGGTTTATTTCTTTGTTTAATTGGGTGCTTTTCATGAGGCAGGCTCTTATGTAGTCCAGACAGGCTTTGAATTGGCTGCGCAGCCAAAATAGCCTTGCACTCCTTGCCCCGAAGCCTCTACCTCCCAAGTGTTAGGATTACAGGCATGTGCCCCACACCCCCTCTCTCTGTTGTCCATGCTCCCCCTTAACATTCCCTCCCCAAATCCCCAAGACTGACTCCCTCTTATCAAATGATAGCCTTGACTCAAATGTCCTAGATGCTGCTCCCTGAGGAAGAGTGCCTGGCACATAATAGAGACTCTGTAAACACGATCATGAAGAAACATAAATATTAAAATGAGATAACGTAAGTACCTACTTATATTAGTCACTCAATGAAGCAATCACCCTTTATGAAATTCAGTTTCACCAACTGCCCAAACAAGTTACAAAGACCAGATGGTCTCTAAAATCTTTTTAACTTTTGCTTGCCATTCATTCTTCAATGGTTTCTTTATATTCACACATTCAAGGAACAGTCTTTGAGAACTTACTGCATATCAAGAGAGCTAGACTGGCTGTGGGTAAGCCTGTGTGCATTTTCTTGATTATGATTGAAGTGAGAGGGCCCCGATCACTGTAGACAGTGCCCGGGCTGGTGGTCCTGGGTGCTAAAAGAAAGCAGGTTGAGCAAGCCTTGAGGAACAAGCCAGTAAATAGAATGCTTTTGTGGCCTCTGCATCAATCCTGCTTCCAGGTTCCTGACTTGAGTTCCTGCCCTGACATCCCTGCATAGTTACCAGGAAGTGTAAAATAAGCCATTTCCTCCCCAAATTGCTTTTTGGCTTGGTATTTTGTCATAGCCTTAGAAACCCTAACTAAGATATAGCACCTTGGGCTACTGTGTAAAAAATGGCAAAAAGAGTGTACATCAGTATCTGCCATCATCATGGTTGTTCCTTGATACCATTCTAACAATGGTCCCACACTTCTCTGGTCTATATTTACATGGTTACATTCCTACATGAACATACATCTACGTAGTGAGATATTCACTTTGTCGGCTTCTGTGGCACTGACCACGCCCATTGGAGGTGGAGCCGGGGCGGAAGTGACCTGTGGAACTAGGTCTGAGGAAGAACCAGGGAATGCTCTCTTGCTGACTGAACATGGAGAGGAGAGCATCCAGTGGAACCTGCTGGTGTTCATCTGTCTAGGTTGTAAGTTATTTCTCCCTGAATAAACATTTGTTCGGCCTTTTGTTTAGCCTGACCTTTATTAAACCGTGATACACCTAGACACATGGCATATCACACTGTACATTAGGATTTTTCTTTGTTCCCTTTCCTTTCATAGTGTTTAAATCCATAAACAAGTAAGCCTTTTTTAAAAGTGATGTGTTTGGGTATCAAGTCGACTAGAGTGGACTTGTGATGCTTAGTCTTTGTTGCCAACTTAATGAGACATAGAAGTATATGGGAGACTGGCATCTGGGCATGCCAGTGGGGTTAGGTTAATTGAGGTAGTAAGACTCATACACTGTGGTTAGCACCATTCCCTGAGCTGGGATTCTGAACTATATAAAAAAAAAAGAAGAAGAAAGTAAGTTAAACACAAACACTTACTACTCTCTGCTTCTTGACTATCGATGAAATGTGACCGGCCAGCTAACCATGTGACTTCCCTTCAGTGATGGACTATAACCATGAATTGTAAGCCCCAATGAATCATTCCTTTCTGGGTGGCCTTTCTTAGAGATTTTATTACAACAGAAAAGTAAGACAAGACTGAAACATGGCTATAAACTAGTTAGAAGGCTATAAAGTATCTTAAAACCATCTCCAGAGTTTGATAATTTTTCAGTAACCCAAATGGTAGCCAATATGGACAAGTCAGCACATGATAAGACAGTACAGAGCCAAGCAATAAATAGTGAGAGTGCTCAGATTGCTAATCATACTGGCCAAGTAAAGTGGCTGAATGTACTCCGTGTTCTCGATCGGCTAATGACATAGACAATGATGTCCTCAGTGCTATCAGTGAAATCAGTGAATAACTTCTCCAAAGGAAACCATGAGACTACAAAAACTGAAAATCTTAGTACAGCACCAGTCTGAAAACTATCATGTGTTTCTTGAGTATATGACAGTTAACACCATGCTTCCAGAGAGTGTAGCTTATTGTGTTCTCTTCGAGACTAAGGGTTTAACGTAGCTGTTGTCATAATACCACATGGCAAAGTAGGAATTCAAAGCCATGTCTGCAGGCTGTCTTCCCTTACTGTCTTCTAGTGACCATTACTGACTGTGGTGGAAAACTGAGCTCTGACTCAGCACACAGGTACTCAAGAAAAGGAGGGATATTATAGTTGTACTGACTAAATATGATTTGCCAAAGAGACGGTATTAGCTTAGGCAGTTGATAAAAAGGAAGCACCAAGTTCATAGTCAAATAGTATTACACTGCCCCCCTGTGTCCACCACTTTCTCACACCTCTGACAACCAGAGGCTCGTTTTCATTTATTGGGAGCAAAGTCTGACTCTCTTTAGTCACTGCCTTAAGCTACAAACAGATATGAACATCACTAACTGATGGTCAGATGCCCTTTGACTGTGTGTCTGAAGATGCTGTGAAAACTATCACACAAGAGTACACTGTCTATAGCAAAACAAGGAGGTAATGGATTGGCCAGTAAAAGAACTGGTCTCTGAGAACTGAAAAATGGTCCATATGACCTTACATTCTACTTTAAGCAAATTTCTTCTACCTAGTTAGTACCAAGGACCACAGCTGCTCCACATGCCACGCTGAAGTAATTAAATGATTGATGTGCACAGTATCTGACACTGAGTGAAATTGTTATTTTCAGTAATTCAAAATGAGTGCCACTAAAATCACAGTCTGAAATTGGAGGGCTATGGACAAAAAGAAAGCAAATACAGTAAGTCTCCCATTTTGCACATGCTTAACTCGTGAGTTATAAACAGTTGTAAACTGTTATAACTTGTGAATTATATACAAGCTATCAGCTCAGACTCCCCAGTCTTCATTTGCAAGCAACTATTCTTATAATTTCACAGATTGATATGTGGTCACATAGAAGACCTGTAACTCGTACCACTCAGCACGGTGAGACAGGAGGGACCATGCATTCAAAGCCAGCATGGGCTTGACTTTAAAAAAAAAAAAAAGCCATAATCCAAAACACATACAATCCTAAAAAGTAAGTTTCAAAATGTTTATATTCATTATATTTACCCACAGTATCCTATGTATTGGACAGATAGTTATATATAGGTGTTGTGTGCCAATACATTATATACTAAGTGCATTTTTTAAAAGTCTAAAAAAAATACACAGCAAGTTGCCAATAAAGTGTCTGTCAGGAATCATTGATAAACAGGTTCTTTTTCCTTTTAGTCTATATAATCATATAATCATGCCTTAGTTGATATTTTTATATTGGGTGGTTTTATATATTTTTTAATTAGTACAAAATTAATTAAGACCAAAATAAACATGCTCTTATTCTATTAACATAAAATCTAACTTGCCAGTTCACAAGGTTATATGCTTAAACATAAAACTGGGTCAAACAAGAAAAAAAAAACTTATGGAAAAAAACTCAATGGCCTGGTTTTAGCTTGTCCTTTTTTTTTTTTTTTTTTTTTTTGTCTAAAAAAAGCCATTCAGTGATATTTTCTGAATAGGAGGTAGAAGATATTGTTCTGTATTGTTGACCAAACAAGTAATTTTTAAATGGATAGACTCACACTATAATATTCAAGTATCTATCCCTAGATTCACACCATAACCTGTAGATTAACACTATGATAACAGAGTGTCTTGCTTACCCCTAGATTGGTGTTGTAACATTCAGGTGTTTATCCCTGGATTTACACAGTAACATCTGAGTGCCTTCCATATATCCACACCACAAATTCAAGAATTTACCTCTGGATTCACACCAGTATCTTAATGGCTATACCTAGATTCAGACTACATCTGTGTCTACATTCAGAGCATTTATCCCCACATTCACACCATAATAGTCGAGTAGCTGTCTATAGATTCAGATCAAAATATTCAAGTGCCTATCCCTAATCCGCACTGTAATATCCAACTGTCTATCACTAGACTTACACTGCAATAATTGGAGAGTCAATCCCTACATCCCTAGAGTGTAGAGTTCTCATACCTTTGCTAAAGAACCAAGGAGCAGGTCCCTAGCTCCACACCCCCTTTCTGGGGCCCCTTGCCTGCCCCAGGGATCCAATTATGGGTAGAACCACAAACTTTATAAAAAGCCTCTACTCAACCTGCCCCCTTTAGCTGAAATGTCTTCTATCCGGGTCACTAGTCTTTTCTCAGGAACTCTCAGAAGGAAAAAAAAAAAAAAAAAAAAAAGAAAGAAAGTCCACTTGAGAAAATATCAAAATGGTGGAGAAATGCATTCACACTGATCATAACATTCAAGACTTCCATAAAAACACTGTAAATTTACAACAAAGGGAAATGCTTACATTCAGACCTCCTCCTGAAGCCAATTAAGAACAATGACCAGAAGGGAAAAAAAAATCATAATTTGGGAAACATTGAAGCTTTTAAGAAGGAAAATTTAAATTTAGGGTTATACACCACATCTAAAAAATAAGGGGATCATAAAATATATCTAAACTATTGCACAATTCAAGCACAATAAATTCAAATGGTAATGCCCAGCTTAGACAAGACATGAGGTACAGGCATGCTCTACTGGGAACCAGTTTGTCCCAGGCTCACAAGGCACAGTCCAGTCTGGGAATTCTACTCTGTAAATGTACTGAGGGGAAAGAATAATGATTTTCATGGTTATGTGAGAGACAAGAAAACATAAATAACAATTTGAGGATAGTAACACTTTGGAAATAGCTATTAAAATGACAAATACATTAACTCTGGAAACAAGGTAAAGAAAATTCAAAATAGTATATTTTTACATTGTTCATACTCTGTAAAGACACACAAGTACCAGGTGATGGGAATCATGCTGAGGTGGGAAGGTTATGAGCTCGTGGTCAGCCTAAGTGATACGATGAGACTTTGCCTCAAAATTAAAACCATTTTTAAAAAGTCTAGGGTATAGTTCAGTGTCACAGTGTTTATATAAAATGCATGGGTTGGGAGGGGAGGGTGGTCAGGGTGCATGTGAGGGGGCAGAGAGGGAAAGAGGGAGGGACAGAGAGAGGGGAGGAGGAAGGAAGGGAGAGGGAACTGGGATCGACATGTAAAATAATAAATTAAATTAAAAATAAAATATTATATTAATGAGAAAAAATAAAATGCATGGGTTCAGTCCTCAGAAATACACATGCATACACATGAATCACTAGAAATGATTCAGTCATAAAGAAAACTGAAATCCTATCCCCATTCTTTCAAAGTGAAATTGTTAGTTTAGAAGTATGTTTACAGGCATATTACCTGGAGACACTAGCTGTATCAATTCAAACCTGGTTAGGAAGCCTAAAAAAGAAAGACGAAACATGAAATTTTAATATTTCAGAAAAATTGTGTTTCTTAACATATGCTAAATTAAAACTACCGTATCTCATTTACACTACTCGACAATATAGGTGGCCTTCTATCTTCACAGGTTCCCTATGTACAGATTCCTGACAACCTTTTCACAAAATACAGGCAGAAAGCAGTTACAAAGTCCTGGCATCTCTGCCAACATGTGCACTCTTTTCTTTTTATGCTCTAAACAATGCAGAATCACGTGTCCATACGATATGTAATATAAAGATAATCCTAACTATGTGGGATATGCACACATGCACATACTCATGCATAGGTTACAAGCAAATTCTATGTCATTTTACTTATGGCCCTTGAGTACCTATGTATTTTGGCATGTGTGAAGGTCCTGGAACCATTTTGCTAAGGGCACCAAAGAACCAAAAAACAACCATAATTTAAAATAATTGCCATGGCAACAATGAAACAGATTTTCATAAAATGAGGGAGTGGGGCAAAGATGAGTGAGCTACAAATTTAGCTTTTTACTTCCTCAAAAGTATGTAATACTTTGACTCTTAAATGTATATTCAGAGCTGGAAAGATGGCTATGTCAAGAGAGCACATACACGGCTCTTGCAGAGAACCCAAGTTCTATTCCCTTCACCTATGTCAGGCAGCTAAGGACGCCTGTAACTCAAGCTCCGGAGGATCCAGTTCCCTCTCCAGCCTTTGTGGGTACCTATGTATACACATGGCACACTGACACACATAAACAAAAGCATGTATATTCATAGAATACTAAAATAACAACACAATTTTCATTTTTTAAAGTTTGGAAAGCCAATGTTATCCATTAATGCAAACGTTTAGCTTGCCTGAAAAGCATACTGTATGACTATACATGTGTTATAAAATGTATCTTACTATGTTCCTTGAGATTAAAATAGTTTTAAAGGGGCTGTAATATCTATAAAGACAAGACTGAAATTTAGATCTTGGGCCAGGAGGGGTGTCGGCAGGTTGAAGTGTGTGTCACTCAAGCCTAGTGACTTGAGTTAAATTCCCAGAACCCACAGAAGCAGCAGATAATTAACTCCTAAAGGTACCCTTTGCCTTTTTCATGTACCCACACTCAGATATCACATGCATGCACACACACACACACACACACACACACACACCATACACACACACACACACACACACACAGACACACACCATACACACACACACACACACACACACACAGTGGTATGCATACGCTCACACATGCTCACCATATATAACAGTTTTGAAATGCTGGGGGAAAAACTGAACAAACCACCCATGTTCACATGGATTGACAGAATATAATGAAAACTACTATATCAAAATGTGATCTACAGATTCAGCTCAATTGCCATCAAAACTTCAGTGACATTCTTCATAGAAATATTCAAATGAGAGCCCCACACACACAAGAAAGCTAAAGCACATTAGGACTGGGATGGAGAAGGAGACCCACACACATGCCCAGGGTGGCCCTGCCTGGAAACTATTAGGGTGAGTAAAAAACATGAGGAGAGGGAGGGAGGGAGGAAGGGTGGGAAGGAGGGGGGAGAGGGAGGGAGGAGAAGAGAGGGGGAGGGGGAGGAAGAGAGGAGGAGAGGGAGGAAGAGAGGAGAGTGGGCCATGTCCTGTGGAGAGAGGCAGATCTGAAACAGTGAAGGTAGTGGGAGCAGACTGAGGTGGGTGGCTCCCTTGTCACCCAGAGGCTAGAATTTCCCTAAATTTAAAGATTGATGAAACACAGAAATATCACACTCCAGAAGCAGCAAAATTCTGTACCTGTGAATTATAGATATATTTTTTTTCTCTTATGTACCTACTTTCTAAAATTTCTGCAACAGCTCCAGGATCTATTGCATTTTCAAATATCTATAGAGAAAAACAAGGAAAAGAAATTTTCAAGGTTTAAGTGAAATGTATTCCTAGAAACTGTAGTTATGTTCTTTCAAGTAATTAGCATATAGAAAATCAAGCCACACAAGCTTTTAGGGTTCAACGGGAACATTTTTAAGATTATCTGTGACGAAAGTGCAACTGATGACTGTAGCACAGAAGAGTTAAAGTCATCAGAATGGTAACAAAGTAAGTTGAGTTAGCTAAATCTATCACATGCTTAAAATGTCATCAGTTTGATCTACTGTACAAGCAAACACATCTTGTATCAGCCTGAGTCTTGAGTACATAGAAAAGCATTCTGCATACAGCAGGTACTCATCAAGTGTTAGCCAGATGACTCCCCTGCCCATGCAATTGGCTGTGCTAAACAGGAAGACAATAGAAATCTTAACCATAGATAAGTAACATCAAAGACAAATGGTGGCAGGGTGGGGAGAGGGGGAAACTCTACCATCAACTACAGAAACACACTCTATCACCTTAAACACTGTCAGATCTGCATACTTTGTGCTTACAATAACAGGTTCTGAGGCAGCACTGAGACAGAACAGTTCTCCAGGGACCTTACAAAAACAAAGAGGTGTTCAGTGTTTTTTCAGCAATACCTCTAGCCTTTAAACTTTTGACTTAAATGATGTTTAAAGGTAAGCATGGATAAAATTCTGCTTGAGGTTTCAAAGCCAGTTTTCCTTTAAGGGCAAAACTGGACATGGCTTTGCCACTTGCAATTATTAAATAAATGTGGATAACATTTTTTTTTTGCCTAAACTATTTCAATAACTACATCTTTCCATTTCACACTGTGATCAGTTGAATTGTGTATCTGTCAAAATTCACAGGTTGACCTCTAACCCCAGTATCTCAAAATATGACCTTATCCCCAAATAGGGTCAATATAAATATGCTTAGTTAAAATTTGAATGAGGTCATACTGGAGTAGGTTGGGCACCTAACATATGTTCGGTGCTTCATTTAAGTGAGTATTTGAGCACACACACACAAAATCATCATTTTAAAGTTAAAAATTAACTAAAACAAATTCATGAATGTAATTGAGCAGAGAAAAATTTATGAACCAGACAGAGCTCAGAAGGAGCCACTATTTTAAACTGGGCAGAGTTTTCTACTTTGGCATGCCAAGCAGAGAAAGCAAACATAGTTGATTGGTTAGAGTGGGCTTCTAGCACCTGACACTTCTCATCCGGGAAGTCTCTGCTTTGGTTTTACTATTCATGCATAGCTTCCTTCGACTTAAACAACTGGAGCCTCTCTTGTCTAATGCTCAGAATGTTTTTTAACTCCATGCACTGTAGAGAACAAATGGCTACATGCTGCATATTGGGGTGAGGTGCATTAAATTAGGGGAATATCCATCCCTCCTGCCTCGGGAAATACCAATGCCCTGCCAGCATTCTGCTCTGACTTCCAGCCCCAGTTTTTTACTGTTAATTAACAGTAAGTCTGCTACTTACTGTGAGCTACTTCTGTATGCCACCTGTAAGAGCCTAATATATCCCATGAAAGGCTTTTCTTAGGAGTGATCTTGGAGAGCAGTCAGTTTAGTCTATTCAAATACAATGGCTTGTGAATCCTTACCAAGAATTTGTTTACCCAGATGCTTTTAAGTATTCAAATCTGAGTCATGCAAACAGGCTATTGGAGAAGAAAATGCTTTTGCTACCTGTTACAAGTATTTTCGGCTACAAAATGGGACTGAGTGCAAGAAACCTGGAACTAGAAGAAACTAGAATGTGAGTCTAAACAACTCAGCTTTAGAAGAAAAACAAATGGCCCTATGGTATACTCAACTAGTAATCTCAAGTCAACAGAGTTTATACACAGCAGCAGTAGGGAAACTTCTAAAGTTTGAGTCTCAGACATTCTCCTTTTAAAAAACAAAGGAGGTTGGACTAGGTAAGTTCCCAAGGTGGTTGATGGATATATCTATCGTTCTGTGCTTGCACAATTTTGTATTTATGGGCTTCTTACCCCATATCTTAGTTAAATAAAAAACATGTTGGGAGGAAAAATGCTTAATTTTCAACACCTACTTTTCATCACACCCATCACCTGCACATGGCCAGAAAAATCATCGGGACTCTCACTGTATTTTTCCAAGATAGTAACTAATTGCTCTTTTACCCAACCAGTTTGCATATTTTTAAATGAATAGGTTGTACCTTTTAAAGATCTATTTATGTATTATGTAGACAGTATTCTGCCTGAATGTATGCCTGCATGCCAGAAGAGGGCACCACATCCTATTACACAATGTTGTGAGCCACCATGTGGTTGCTGGGAATTGAACTCAGGACCCCTGGAAGAGCTGCCAGTGCTCTTAACCTCTGAGCCATCTCTCAAGCCCCTAGGTTGTAAATTTTTTTTTAATGTTACAATCTTCATCTTTTCTCCCATCATTGGTTCAAAATAGACAGGTGGGTTTCTGGATACCATCTTCCAGCCCTTTGAAAGTGGTGAGTTATAGACTTCTTCTCTCTGCCCCAGAGTACCCACCCCCTCAGTGACACTGGCAAGATTAGACTTACTGAATAGAACTCCAATTTCATCTCCACGTCCATAACCAAAATGGTTGGTGATTAAAGAATATTCTACACCATGCTGTATCAGGAAGCCCTGGCTAGTGTTTTGGCTGGGTTTTTTTTTTTTTTTTTTTGTTTTGTTTTGTTTTGTTTTGTTTTTCCCAATCATGATTGCATTCATCAGAATGAAATCTAGACCTTACTACTAGTTACATAACACACTTAAGGAAACTCAGAAAACATGAACGGCTTTCTTGTGTTTAGTTATAAGATTTAACTGATTTATAGTTTTCAATTATTTTTCTGGGTTTAAGAAATTTTTTTTCTTATGGTCTGCAGTTTATTAACAGCCCCCTTTCATAAGTGTAATGCAACTGTCTCTAACACCTCCAAGAACATTCAGAAACGCTCTCTGCTCCAGTTAGAAAATGCCATGGGAGCTCCAAGAATAGAAAGTACCCACTAGGGTATTTAGCACTCGATGGACAGAACTTGGCTCCAGACCTGCAGAGCAAAAGCAAGTCTTCCACACTATGGTTTTGCCTCAAGTCTGCCTGTACTTTACACTAGGGTCAGTTATTTTTTGAAAAAAATATGTGCAAAGGCCACTATTGTTTATAGTAACTATTATGCTGACTTCAGACAGCATAACCCACTGGGAAGTCAAGATCACCTTTTCAAATCTCATGCTCTGTTGAATCGCAATAGGGAACACAGAGGGAAAGCAGTCTGTCTCCAGGTACTGATTCAGGAGGTAGACTCCAAGGTACACACCTTCCTTTTCCGGCAGGAACACTCCCGGGCAAGAAATCTTAAAAAGAAGAGGAGGGCAATTAGGGTTTGCTTTTGTGCAACAGGGCTGTGTTTCTCCTAACCTCCCACAGCCTCTGAAATGACCCCATCGCTGCACCCTTCACCCACATTTCTCAACATCAGCATCCTCCCTCCTCTCCTCGAGCTGGATATCCCGGTTCCCTCCCACGTCTCCGCCAGGTGTCACAATCGCGCTCTGCCGCTCCTCGGCCCGCCCTCCAGGATGGCAGTGCGGAAGCGGAAGAGGCTGCGGGGCCGGGAAGCCTCTTTCGGAACTGGCCGGGTCCCCGGGACCGCCGCCCGCCGCGATGCCGAGCCCCCGGAGGACCATCGAGGGACGGCCGCTGGGCGCCTCGGGCGGGAACAGCGTCCCGGGCAGCCCGGCCCACGGCGGAGGTGGTGGCAGGTTCGAGTTTCAGTCGTTGCTGAGCTGCCGTGCGGGCGCGGATCCTGCTTGCGCCCGGCTGCGCGCGTCCGACAGCCCGGTGCACCGGCGCGGCTCCTTCCCGCTGACCTCCGCGGGCCCCGCGCAAGCAGCACCGGCCCTGCCGCCGGAGGACGACCGTATGAACTTGAACCCGTCCTTCCTGGGCATCGCCCTGCGCTCCCTGCTGGCCATCGACCTGTGGCTATCCAAGAAGCTGGGGGTGTGCGCCGGGGAGAGCTCGGCCTGGGGCAGCGTGCGACCGCTGATGAAGCTGCTGGAGATCTCGGGGCATGGCATCCCCTGGCTGCTGGGCACCCTCTACTGCCTGCTTAGGAGCGACAGCTGGGCCGGGCGCGAAGTGCTGATGAACCTGCTCTTCGCCCTGCTGTTGGACCTACTGCTGGTGGCTGCACTGAAAGGGCTGGTCCGCAGGCGTCGACCAGCACACAATCAGATGGACATGTTTTTCACTCTGTCAGTGGACAAGTATTCCTTTCCCTCCGGCCACGCCACCAGGGCCGCCCTGGTGTCGCGGTTCATCCTGAAGCACCTGGTGCTGGCCATTCCTCTGAGGGTACTGGTGGTACTGTGGGCCTTTGTCTTAGGGCTCTCCAGGGTCATGCTTGGGAGGCACAACGTCACTGATGTAGCTTTTGGCTTCTTTGTGGGCTACATGCTGTACAGCATTGTGGATTATTGCTGGCTGTCACCCCACAGTGTGCCGGTTCTCTTCCTACTGTGGAATCAACAGTGATGCCCTCACCTGGATTGTTGGCACCAGGAGGTCTCAAGGTTTCCATCTTCGAGAAGTCTGGCCTAAACCAGCCATCCAGTTGCCCCTCAGACATTTCAGGCACCTTTGGGAATTCTGGGATCCCACTGTCTTGGCATGTCCCTAGCTGGAGCACGTACATGCTGGCTAGTACTGAACACAGCTATACTAGAGAAAGAAAGTCTATTGTGTATATATTCAAGACAGATGCAAAGAAATCAAGCTGACTGATTATATAATTGCTATTTATTTAAAGCTGACAGATTTGTGTTAATTAGTAGTCCCCAAACAACCAATGTTATCACTTGTAAATTGAATTTTAAGAGACATGAGCTTCCAGATAAACTATGTGCTACTCCCAGCCCTTTCCCTGTGGTAGATTTTAAACAGTATTTTTAAAGCCAAAGGCTGATTTTTTTTTTTTTTCCACTTCATCCTCTGAATATCTGTTGCCATAATTGGAGCTTTTTCTTTCTCCTGATTGCCTGTAACAAGCCCACCCACCTTTGTGGATTAGGTAGTAAGAAGTGACGGACAGTACTTGCCTTTCTTCCTATACCTCTCAAAAGGTCTGTAGATGTTTACTTTCCATTACTCTCTAATAGTCTTTTAGCATCCGTAGGACAAACCAAGATGTTAAAGAAGACACACTCAAAAAGTGGGCTTGTCTAAGGTTCCCACAGAAAAGTAAGTATGAGACTACTGTTCATTTTCTAATTCTGTTGACAACCAGTAGCAGTGCATAGCAGGGGGCCAAGAAGCTGAGCTGGGGAACTTAGGAGCCTGGAAATAGACCAACAGATGTCAACAACCAGTGGAAGGAGATGGAGCCCTGATGCCCATCATCTCTGTGGAACAGAGCAAATGGTCCTCCATTAAGTAAAAAAATGGAAACGCAATGTGATTTTCAGTATGCTCGCAGAGCTTCCTTGTGTGTATGCTACCCGTTTTCATATCAATTCCACTTTGCCATACCCAGCACACTTGACCTAACGGTACTTAACTTGAAATTCTTCAGGAGAGCCTGTTGCCCTAAGTGACCACTAGGTATGACTCCTAAATTTCAGTTTACATGGAAAGCTGTTCCTTCACGTGCCTCCCCCAATCATAAGACCAAAGATGACCAAATAACATGGTAGACTCTGATTATTGTCTGACCTGGGAAGACCAAAGAGAGTATGTACTGTATAAATCTGTAAATGCTGCCCTATCCAGAAAGAAAACCTTTAAATCACTCTGGCAATGTCGGGTCAGATAACGACCAATTGTTCTGGCATTTATAAATAGAATGGATTATTGGCTGTGATCTAACATGCATGGGTGTGGACCAGACTGTGCAGAATGGCCGTGCTAAACAGATTCTCACCAGGAAGAAGCAGGAACTGTGAGAGCTGAGGGTCAGGCACACCAATAGGAACAGCTCTTCCTCTGAGTAAACAGTCACTGCATTTCCACAACACCCTGAACACTGACTACCTCTTTGCTTACTGACTCTGCTGAGCTGTGAGGTTCTAAGTGGTCTGTGTGTGTTGTTTAAACTTTCACATTTTCTGAGGCTTTGGGTTTGGTTGGGGGGGAGACGGGGTGGAAACAGGGTTTCTTTGTGTAGCCCTAGCTGTCCCGGAACTGCCTCTGTAGACCAGGCTAGCCTTGAACTCACAGAGATCCACCTGCCTCTGCTGGGATTAAAGGTATGCACCATCACCACCCAGCTTTGGAGATCATTTTTAATTGCAACATTCAGGCGGATAGTGTTTGCTCTTACCTTGTCCCCAGGTTTGATTACTGAGGACTGGACCTATCTTCTAGTTTCTAGTTACACTTCTAGAATCCATGTTTTGTTCACTGGGGCCTGAGTTTGCCAACTGTCTAAAATAGGATCAGATCGAGTTATCTGACTTCATGGATCACCCTAAGTTCTCTGGAGTAAAAAACTGATTTTTCTTTTGTTGTTGTTAATTGCTTGTACACTGAAGGATGTCTTTTAAAAATCAAAATAAAGTAACCGGTAACGTTGAGCAACATGAGGTGAAATCTTAATTTCTGTTTTGCTGTAAGAGAGCTCTCTCAGCCTTGTAGGGATCCCTTCCTCTCCCTCAGCACAGTTGGATACAGCACAACTGATAACTGCCGGTAAAATGGAGCCAAAACTAGAATCCTTTAACTTCATTATGCTGCATGAAACCTTGGAGTTTGCTTCTAGGTGGCAGCTGGCTGAATTTCCATGCAGTGCCCTATCAGCATCCATTTGTGACTATGGCCAGTAGTGAAGTCCCTTATAATCGGGAGGCCAAACTCCATGCCAGTCATGCTATTATAAATGGGAGGATGGGAGGGTTAAAAGAGAGGAATGAAGGACTCCCAAACAGGAAAAGTATTCCCTGCGCTCCAGCAACTCACTTAAGGAATTGGAGGGTAATTATCAAAGTGTTTGTTGTTTGAGTTAGCAACTCAAAGCCGAGGGAAAGTGCTTTGCTTCTGAGAGGTGGAACATTAGTCGAGAATTTTAAAAACTATATTCTTTGATTACTTAGAGAAACAACATTAAATCCTTTCACAAAGTCTTTTGAAATGAAAATCCTTCTTGAACCTGAGTCAAGATCCTTTTAAGAAGCCAGGAAACATGCTGGTTGTGGAAAAAAAAAAAAAAAAAAAAAAAGACGGGACAGACTGAACCGAATTAAAGGCTACGAGGTCCAAGGGTGATAAATGTGCTGAATCGTCGGGACAGTGTGCACCAAAAGCGATGTGTGTGGAGTGAGCGGGGAAGAGCGTGGGGTTAAAACAGCAGGCTCGCCGATCTCTTACCGCCCGGATTTGGAGCTCCACCACCACCTCCAGAGGCATCCTTCCCTGTGTAGGCGAAAGCACCGCAAAGACAAGATCCTTTTGTACTGAGCCTTGAACCGATTATTTCTTAGTTTACATCAAGGCAAGTATTTCCCAGAAGTTTCCCTGCCCCCACCCCCACCCCTTTGTTCCCCCATCAGTCCCCCAGCCCAGGTCCCTCCCACCCGGGCGGGTATCTCACAACAAGCTACGGGTTGTAAGCTTCCAGAAGGCGGAAGCGTCGGGTTGCCATGGACACTCAAACGCTCAACGTTCTCCCCTGGAAGGCTAGAGAGGCCGAGGCGCAGGCGCGCTAATGCTCAGCTGGGAGCCAGAGTTCTTGTTAACCTCCCTGGTGCATGGAACGGCCCAGCTTTTGCTATCTTTCCCTGGATGCTCTATGTTCAAATGTTTAACTGTGCTCAAATGACTAACAGTCTCCATCCCAAAAGTGGAATGAGATCATAGCTCTGTTAGGTAATCATTTTTAGTGGCTATGGGACCCCAGACACTGGGATTCCTGTGATAGATTCTATTTAGCACAGTCACCTGTTCCCTACGGGTACTCCCTTATTAAATGTATTGTCTCCTTTTGCCTTAGAAAATATGCTCACTATCGCTAAGAAGTCGAACAGTGTACTAATTAGGAACAGGAAGGTCATTTCTAAAGTTAGGAATTAAAACTGCCAGTCCCTCTTCACTGCATACTTCAATCTTTCCAAGTAGTTTAAGGCGAGCATTGAATTGCATCATCTCCCAGAGATCGTCAGGTGGCAAGAGGAATGACATTTCCCCCCATTTTGTGTGATTTTTTTTTTTTTAAACAACAGTGGACAACAGGAGAATGTGGCTGTTTTTTTTTTTTTTAGCAGATCCAAAATTTACCAAAAGGCCAATATCTCAAAATTTAAGCAAGTAAATACATAATGTTCCTAAAAATTAGGGCTGGGCCATGTGGTTCTGTTGGTCTGTTGGTAGTGTTTGCCCAGTCTAGTGTCCACCAGAACTACATAAATCTGTCTTTGCTGGATGTTTGTACTCCTAGCACTGTTAAAAGAATCAGAAAATCAAAATTAGCCCGGGATAACTAATGAATTAGACGTCAGCCTGGATTTCATGAGACCCTGCCTCAATAAGAGATTTTTTTTAAAAAGTATCTTATGGTTTATTATTAATACATTGAGATCTCTACAGTTGGAAATGGTGCAGGAAGATGTCCCTAAAAAGATACTGCTGAAGATTCTCACTTCAGTAGCTATAGTTCATTGTTCTGAAAGGAAAAACCCAGTGTGGTGAGGAATGGAGCATCATGTCTATACCCAGTTCCTAGTGTGTGCGCTCTCTCTCTCTCTCTCTCTCTCTCTCTCTCTCTCTCTCTCTCTCTCTCTCTCTCTGCACCCAAAGACGTGTATATACAGTTGGGTGCCCAGCTCTCTGAATGCTCAGAGCACAGATATGACATAAGGGCTAACTGGCACAAGGCCTGTGATATCTCAGGGATAGTACCAGTAGAGAGATAATGCTAATACTGTGTCAAAACAAATTTATAATTAAGTTTCTAGAGGTAAAATATAAGATGGGATCAATTCTTACTGAAGATCTACAAAAAGGGGAGCATGTTGTGTGGTCATTTCATTGGCACAGTAAACCTTTGGGGGAGTTGTCTGTATTTTTCAGCTTCAGACTAGAAGCCAAACTGCCTTTTCCCCAAGGCTACATAACTAGTAACAAGAGTCATGTTTGAGTTCAGGTTCCTACCACCTCACTGCCTCACAACACAGATCTTTTTGGTCCCTAGAAACACTGTCCTATCCCTGCACTCTTTGTTTCCTAGTCTTTCTACCTCTTGGTGTCATCAGACTCTCCTCTCTTTCTAACACTTGCTATTACTAGGCTCACTTGCATGGTGTCCTAGAGCCCTGAACTCTTGGGATTTCCCTTTGGCTATCTAGCCATTAATTTTGTCTGTGTTTTCTCTCCTTTACTTAGTTCAACTAGTATTTTTAGAACTCTTTGTTTAACTCACTGTCCTTTATTGAGGTGACAATATAATACTGGTTAACATACACACAAGTTTGCATATGCCACCAAGGTCTCTAACTCTTCCCATTAAGGTTACTTTGTCCCCTACCATGGTCATCTCAGACTCCCAGATGCCACAGAAATGTGAAAGTTGCTACAGACATAATGTCTCAAGCCCCTCTTGCAACCCATTTAATCAGTAATGCTGCCCATCTCAGCTGGAGACCAAGCAAAGCGATTCAAGGATTGGATTGTCACCAGGTCAAGTCAAATGAATGGCTCCATCTCCGAGCTGGTTTTTGTCAACCTGACACATATCTGGGAAGGACTTTTAACTGAGAAAATGCCTTCATAAGACTGGCCTGTAAGCAAGTCTGTTGAGATTGTTCTTATTAACAATGAGGACACCCCATAGGGAATGGAGTCATCCCTGGGCAGGTGGTTCTGAGTTGTATAAGAAAGCAAGCTGAGCAAGCCAGTAAGCAGCATTCCCCCATGGGAATGGTTCTGCCTCTGTGACTCTGCCTTGAGTTCTTGCTCTTACTGGCCTCAGTGATGGGGTGTGAGCTGAGAGCTGGAAGATGAAATAAACACTTTCCTTCCCGTGTTGATTCGGTTCATGGTGTTTTATTATACAATAGAAACCCTAAAATAGTAGGTCTGTGCGGCGATAAACAGATGCCAGTGAACCAGCTTCTACTCCCAGAATGCTTCTGCAGGGCAGCTTGATAGCCTCAGCATTGCAGAAATGACATATCACCCATCCTGTTCACATCCTAGCCACGAGAGAGAGAACAAAAGCATTCCCCAAGTGGGAATTTCCAGAGTGAATTAACCAGGAGTACGAATGTGACAATCAGGTCCTCGTGATCAAGTTGTTGCTTTTACCTTAAAACAAAGAATTATCAACCCAACATGATAAATAAATGAAACAGCATCTGTGTGAGGGAGAAACTAATTTTTGAAGGAATAAAAGGTTGTGAGGTGAGGAATGAAAAAAAAAATGTAATGTATGAGTAGTCAATGGCTACTATAACACATTTCTATATTCTCAGGACCTTAAAATTTTGATCATCTTCCAGTTTGTTGGAACAACAGTCTAACTTGCATCTTACTGGGAAAAAATTTAGGTGGCAGGAGAGTACTGGCACCTTTCAGTTCTCTTGCATTTCTAGCTACTGAAGGTTGCTGGAACTCCTTGGCTCAAAGCTCCTTTCTTCCATCTTCAAGGCCAGTGACATCAAATCAAGTCTTGCTTGTCCTGCCCTTGTTTTGACTCTGTTCATCACTTTTTATGGTCTTTGTGACTGGGCTGGATGGAGGTTTAAAACACCCACTGCTCTTGCAGAGGACTCAAGTTGGTTTCCCACCATTTATGCTACACACACACACACACACACACACACACACACACACACACACACACACACACACCTAACCACACATAATTTAAAAATAAGTTAATCTTTTAAAAAAGATCTTGTGGCCACATCAGAGCCACTCGGAGAATCCAAGTAATTACCTTATTTTAAAGTTAGTTGGTTAACAACCTCATTTTCACTTGAAACCTCAGTATCCCCTTTATTATGTAAGATAACATAGTTCAGTCTCCACGGTTTGGATGTGAACATCTTTGAAGCCAATTATCGTGTTTACAATAGACAACTTCCCTAGAAAGTAACTTGATAATGGCTCTCAAAATTTATAATTTGGCTCAGTATTTCTGCTGCTAGGTTTAGATATCATTAAGATTTAAAAACAAAATAACCAGGTGTTCACTACATTGAGTCATATTGAAGCTGATAGATACCACAGCATGAGAAAAGAAAGGAGCAGAGCTGTGAGTTTAACAGTAAATAATCTCTAAGAAGAAGATAAATGCATGGAACAAAAACTATATCTAATATACTACCATTTCAGACAGAAGGAAAATGCAATATGTATAATTATGCTTGAAGTATGGCTGGGGCAGGAGGCAGGGGATCACTAAAAACTTAATAATGTATTCCTTTGGAAAGAGCCTCAGGTCGAGTGAGTGAAGGGAAACTTGCTTTTCACTTAATACCCTTAGGGGCTGTTAAATACTATTATTCCCAACAACCTCTATTACTGAATAAAAAAGGAAAAAAATCAACAATTAAAAGACAAAAAAAAGATAGAAAAAAGAAGCCTAAAAACACAAGACAAAGCGAGAGCTCACACTTCTTCAACTGTTGGAGCTAAAGCCTATGTATCACACGTCACAAAAATAACCAAGCAAAGGTACCTGCCACTTCTGCTTCCAGGGCAAGAGATTGTACCCTGTGATCCAAGGGTGTTTTCTGCACTGTTCTAATCCAATTACTTACTTATGTCTGTGGGCTGATTTGTTAGGCCCTACAGTCTTGCATGTCTGCGAATTATCCTTTAAGCAAGCATGAATAACACCAGAAGATTGAGTTTCCAAAGTGAGTTATCAGGTTATTTATTTATTTATTGTTGAGAAATGCCTGCTGAAAAGAAAATAACCAAGTTAATGAGACAACCTGTATTATCTCAGCGATAACGCATTTCCAGAGCACTCATTTTGTTTTTTGTTTTTGTGCACAAACGCAGCCTTAAGATAGGAAAAACTGTATCTTATAGCCATCCTCTCCCAAAATCTTTCTTTAAAACATTCTTTAACAATTTAACTTTCTCACAGTCTAATGTCCAGAGGACATTTTACCTTTCTTTTACTGGGAATAAATAAATGAACTGTGTTGGCTTTTTCCTTGGTTCTAACAAACTAACAATGACGTTTATATTTTAAAAATCATTTCAATTGCATCCTTTAAGGAACTAGCCTACCTTTTAGTCACAGGATGTGTCTACAGGAAACATTTTGATGGAGAAAGTGTGCATTAAGTTGAATCAGGCAACTGGTGCTGCACTGTCAATATGGTGGTGACATATAACTAAGTTAGCTTCAACAAGATAAAGTTTACCTCCTCAGTCACAGTGCTCAGTAGCCACATGTGGCTAGTGACTATTACATTACACAGTGCAAAGAGATCATTTGCATCGGTAAAGACTGTTCTAGTGTGCAGTATTGTCATAGATTTAACTGCTCTTAAAGGAGATGTGGAGGATAAACGTGTTTTCATCT